TTATGTCCGGCTTTCACGTGGGCTACAAATCACCCCGAATCGTAAAGAATCTGGAGAGGCTAAGAAGCAGTTACGATATTTTACGAAGAGTTACGATAATTCGTAGGTAATCGAATGAAAAATATGCCTGATGCCATGATAGGGTTAAGATAAAGGTACGGATTGAAAGAATTATCCCTCTGCGGTTTCCTCCCACTAATTTTGAAATAAAATTAAACCATATGTTAGTCCCGAAGTAACCTAGTTTATGTCGAGTGGACTTTAAACCCCATCTCTCTCTCTCTCTCTCTGAAAGAATTATCTTTACGAATTGAAGCGATTTAGTTACGAACGAGTTACGGATATGTAGAATCTTTTATGAATATAACGAATTCGGTTACGAATACACTACGCTCTCCACGAATGATACCGATAAAGCTACGAAAAGTTTACCATATTTGGCACTATTCGTCAAAAAATCGATCAGGAAGCTGTTATGGACGATAAGAAATGTGTAAGAACGAAATAAGAATCACTCAGAAACTTCAAGAACCGTCTACGATTTATCTACGAATTGGCAAAAGTTTGGATTCGGGATAATTCGTGGCATTCGTAGTCCATATGAAAGCGAGCCGCGAAAGGTTTTGTTTTTCAAGAATCACTTACGAACTTCAACAATCGGAAAAAAGATGGATTCGGGGCGATTCGTGGCATTCGTAGCCCACGTGAAAGCCGGACATTAAAGTGATTGACGTGTGCGTAAAAGAATTCTTGACAGTTGGAATTCGAAATAATTTCTATCATTGTATGCTGTAAGCCCATCTTTATTAGCCCGGATTTGGCTGAAAAATAGGACGTTAAACCCCATTTCATTTCAATTATGCTGGTCAAGTAGAGAGCATTAACCCAGGGTTACATCGCAATCAGAGCGACCTTTAGTGTATGATTGTAGGAAAATTTGAAAGAATTTTAAATAGTTGCGACTTCTATCAGCAGATATTTTTGTCTCGTATGTTATGTTTGAATCTATGTAAGTCTAAAATATACGCATTATTTTAATATATATGCTATGCAAAATGAGAAGACAAATTACAAGGAATTTTAGTCGCGCAAGTTTAATTTCATGAAAGTATTATTTGTTTAATAACAATATAACATCATATAGCATAGCGATTCATTATCCTCCGTCGAGAGATTATAGACTGTCCTTGGGCTTAAGGTTTTTTCAGGGTTATGGTCGAGGTCTAAAGCAGAATAAATTGACATTACCATGTCCATTGGAGCATCCATCTTTTAACAGACTATTGTCCGGACCATTTGCGTTCGGTTTCTAGTTCCGACCACTAGTCATGAAAAAGTTATAACCGAAGGTCGCCCAGAATGCTTGCACTAGATTTAAAGTCGTCGTTACATGTATAGTGATAGTGGTATTCTCTTCAATCTTATCGACTACACGAACGAAATCAAACAAACAGTGGAAAATTCCCAAACTTTTATATAACATTCCCTTTTTTTAATTTCATGTCACAGACACAATACAGACAAATATATTTTTTTAAAGTTTTACTGGTGTAATGTGACAACCGTTAGTTATTGATTTCAGATTTACCCTTCGACTTTGTTTGTTAACAAACATTACAAAGAAAGCTAGATTAAAATCACTACAGCCTCCTTAGTTTACTTAACGGCTAAAGAGTTTAAAGAGAGAGAGAGAGAGAGAGAGAGAGAGAGAGAGGGGGGGTTTAACGTCCACTCGACACAAACTAGGTCATTTCGGGACTAACATGGTATAATTTTATTTCAATAATTCGCTTGCGCATAGGGGTCTTTAGCAGTGGGAGGAAACCGGAGGACCCGGAGAAAACCCACGAGGTTGGACAGACGACCCTACTCCTTGTCACGTACAACCGGGGAGAGAGAGAGAGAGAGAGAGAGAGAGAGAGAGTAGTAGTATAATACGTGAATAGTATATATAATACCAATCTAAGGTATCACAAGATTAATTCAACTAATGACGAGAGAGAGATATATATATATATATATAGAGAGAGAGAGAGAGTTTAACTAACGTCTACACGACACAAATTAGGACATTTCGGGACTAACATATGGTTTAATTTTATTTTATTATTCGCTTGCACGTGAGGGTCTTTAGCAATGGGTGGAAACCGGAAGACCCGGATAAAACCCACGAGGTTGGAAATACAACCGGGGTATCGAAACCATGCCAGTTTACTCAATGACAGACCATATGATGCAACGCGCACGCACTAACCATTCGACCCCACCCCACCACCAAATATGCATAAATGTAATTTACAAATACTGTTGTCCACCAATATTACGTGTGTGATAGAACTGGTTAAACACATTTCAAATACAATATTAACAGTAATTAAGATTTGAAGAAACGGGAAGTGACGTAAAAAATGAAAACGAGTTTTTGAAGTATAGATAGAATACACGGTCGGTTTTCAACTCACTGATAATTCGTCTGAAGACGAAAAGTTGGTAATCAACGTAGATTGTTTGAAAAATGTCGTTCAGTTTTGGCGAGTGAACATTTAGCTTCATAGACCTCTATCGTACGTAACTAATGAACGAAAATTAAATGGTAGCTATAGGGTGAGTGTGTCGTTCAGATTGGACCTCTGTTTGCAAGACGATTGTAAATGCTTGTAGTGAGTAAGACGCTGGCTCACTACCCTGGAGATCGCGGGTTCGATCCCGGTGTTAGTAGAGGAAGTTTATCGGGATTTTACGGCGTGGCTTTCTATTGTCAGTGATGTAGAACGGATTTCACGAAAAACCGAGGTCCCGTATACACATTGGAGTGCACGTAAAATATACCTTGACAAGTGTAATTCGATATATGAGTAGGCCGCAGCGCCGCTGTCCGGAAAAATTCCCTTAATACCACCACACTGTATGTCTGCAACAGATGAGCAGGATAGCAGGACGTTAAACCCCATTTTATTTCTATAAATGCCTAGCTAGCAAACTATCGCTACACCCGATAACATAATACAGAGATATACGTGGAGGGAGGCCAGTAGACTTGTTGATAAATGGAGACAAAATAATTATAAGTATAAAACAAAACTAGGCTAGTGAGGTTAATCAGTTGGGGGAAACCGCAGGTTGGCTTTGGTCCCGAGGTTATCTTATGGCCACAGATCACTAATTATTTCCCCATTGACTTTAACGTTAATTCTCGTCTCTTAGACCGGCTCTAACTTTTCCCCAAATTTTCGTTTTTTAGAACGCTTTCTGCCACAGATGGAGCAACATGTGGCAAACTCTTGCCCAAAAGCATGTATGAGGTTCACCATGAAAAACTTGAGATACACAAGCTGGAAGTAGAGACAAGTAAACATGCAATTTCCGGCCCTACATTTCAGCGTAACCAACCTCACAACTCTTGTATCCTTCCGCCTTAAAATCATGAATATTCACCAAAACCTGGCAGAAAATGTATTTTCAAACCCTTTTCTTCGGTTCTTCACCAAAACGTCAACAAAAATCGACATGCAAAAGGGGGAAAAAGGGAAAGGGAGAGAGAGACTAAAAATAGCTTTGGCCCTTGTTTCGTTGTAAGGGGGATAACTCCAGTTAATAACCAATCTTAAATTCTTAGAAAAAATATTAACTATGATTAGACAGGTTAAGATTTGATCAACACATTACTTACATTAAATGTTCAGGGGCGGATCCTGAGAGGGGAGGGGGGTCCATAGATAAATTGTCTTAGAAACTGACGCCCCCCCCCCCCTGCAAAAATTCCTGGGTCCGTCCCTGATGTTATGCTTTTGTGAGTAAAGAAAGGGAATCTACTTCCACTTATGAGCTATTTGTACGTAAATCATACATGTGATACAGATAATGATATAGGTTTTTTTTAACGTTTCATCCACACAATCATTGACATTGTGTGCAATAAGAGTCTACTCTGCTTCGAATTCACACTGTCAATGTGTACAAGTGTACAATACGGGTTATCGCCCTGTCTGACAACTAGGCACACGACATTCTATTCACAGGGTCACAGTTTTAATGAACGACACGTCAAACTGTCATCGTCACTGTCGTAAGCATTCATTCCGAGAACCTAATCTACGAATTCCTACATGCAAATCTCGGTTCTGAAAATTAAAAATTGCTAACATGAAAAACATTAAATTAATTACAAATTATTTATTAACTTAATTTACCTGCCATTCCTTTAATTCCCCTATAAATATAAATGATGCACCAAATTCCCTTGTTTATTTTTTGTTTGTTTGCAATGTCCTAATTTCATGAGCAATAGTGAAACACGGAATTCAACAGATGTATGTAAACACCTTTGATAAATCTGGTCATATCATATCCTTAAAGGGGCAGTCCCAGAAAAATTGAAGTGAGTATAACTAACTAATTCTGTTTCGCAGTTCCCTGTAAGTATTATTTGACAATGTATCGAATCGAATAAAAACGGTTACTTTTATTTAGAAATGAAATAAAATGGGGTTTAACGTCCTACTGTTCTGCTGCGACCGGACTAATGAAGACGGGCATACACCATACACTGTGCTATGAGGGAAATTTTGTCTAGACAGTGGAACTACGACCTATTCTTATATCGAATTTTAACTGCCAGGGATCTTTTACGTGCACGCCAATATGCCAATATGTACGCAGTATCGTCCCATCCGAACGACTAGACATCTGTCCCTGTCAGACCCTCCGTCCTGCACCGCTGACAAGGAGAAACCACGCCGGCCAACACAGGGATCAAACCCGTGACATCCAGGCTAGTGAGCCAGCGTCTTACTCGCTTAGCCGCTGTGGCTCCCCATATCATTAAACATAGCAATTGTGCATCAAGTTTCTTGGTCTTGCAAACATTTTGGACCCAGATTTTGACCCATTTGATAATTTTGTTATATCGTCAGACGTGGGAAATAACATTTGTCCATCACGTTATATCGGCTTACAAAGAATTTGGAAGCAGATTTTGTTTCAAACTTGAGCCCACCACAATGACGTTAAAATTGGTATTGGTAGTTGTTTTGTCAGTGTATGTAACAGACGCTTTAGACAATCCGACCTTTACTTTATCGCCATCTGGTGGACAATTCACAGTTAAAGGTTAGTTGGTTTCGGAACATTTATGACTTCTTCAAAACAATGTGTCAAGTAATGCAAAACTAGGGTTTAACTGCTCCTACTGGGCTATTGCAGACGGTCATACGCCATACAGTGTTCTATGAGGGAAATTTTGCCCGGACAGCGGCACCATGGCGTACTCTTGTATCGAATTCCAACTGCCAAGGGGTCTTTTACGTACACGCCAATGTACACACGGGTCTTCAGTTTTGTGGTACCATGAAAACGACTAGACAGCTGTCCTTGTCAGGTCCTCTGTGCTGCATCACTGACAAGAGGGAACCACGCCGGAAAATCTGGATGAACTTTCTCGGCCAATGCAGAGATCGAACACCCGACCTCCAGGCTAGCCAGCCAGCGTCTTACCCACTTAGCCACCGTGAACCCCTCGACTAGTCGGAGAAATCCCCTAGTTGACTACCAATAGGTTTAAAATGCTATATAATCAATAGTCCATAATAATTGATATATATACATTTTTAGATTATCCCGGATTATCTACGGTTCTGTTTCACTACTGGATTGATAATGGTGATGAAATAATAGATAAAGCAACACTTACAGGTTGTATTTTAATTTAGTAATTTATTTTCTCACATCCGGTCAAATCATTTTAATATTTTATATTCGAGTTACAATACTTGTAAAGAAATGTTCCCCAGCTGTTTGTTCGTGACTCAAAAATCTCTGGCTTTGATAATGTTTGGAAACGCCAATTCTGTAGCAGAGCAGGTCGAATATGGTAGTCTATCTCGGTCACCAGCTTTGATAATGTTTGGAAACGCCAATTCTGTAGCAGAGCAGGTCGAATATGGTAGTCTATCTCGGTCACCAGCTTTGATAATGTTTGGAAACGCCAATTCTGTAGCAGAGCAGGTCGAATATGGTAGTCTATCTCGGTCACCAGCTTTGATAATGTTTGGAAACGCCAATTCTGAAGCATAGCAAGTCGAATATGGAAGCCTATCGTAAGCCTATCACGAGTCTATCATAATTATGAAGGTTATATACTTTCGAATGGAATTCGCGAGAACGGAAGTCTTTCTTACTTTGTCAACTAATGGATTTTATTATTCTATGACATTTCTGTCGACATTCAGAGAGGAAGTAAAGCGGCGTATTGGGTGACATGTTTCCTGAATGAGCTCACCATTAATGTTAGTTGAATATTATATTATATAGATACGAGGGTTCAGTGATGCAGGATGGATGGCTTGACAAGGATAGCTGTCTAGTAGTTCGGATGGGACCAAAAACCGAGGTCCCGTTACACATTGGCGTGCACGTAAAAGATCCCTTGGCAGTTGGAAATCGATACAAGAGTAGGCCGTAGCGCCGCTGTCCGAGTACAATTTCCCCCATAGCACACTGTATGGCGTATGCCCGTCTTCATTAGCCCAGTCAGAGCAGAACAGTATGGCGTTAAACTCCATTTCATTTCATTTCATTTTTAGATACGAGGGTGTGGCAACTGTCAAATCCAAAACTAAGACCATTAAGACGTCTACAGTATTATGCTGAATTTTATTTTAATACTGGTGTAGTAACCAGTGTAAAACAGAAATGGGACAGAGGTAACTTATTATATAATACGTCTTTATCCGCACACTATTGAACATACAGTCTTTCACCGCATGATGGAAGTGACTAAGAACCCAACAACTCAACATAAAGTCTTTCACTGCATGATGGAAGTGACTAAGAACCCATTGACTAAACATAAAATCTTTAACGGCATACTAGGACCAACTGAGAACCAATAACTAAATGTAAAGTCTTTAACGATATTAGAGAACTCAACGACTAAACTGCAAGAAATTGAGATACTAACTTTACAACACCAAACGAAAAACAGGTGCATGCATAGTTAGTTTATTCTGATACAATCTGGTTATGCACAATTTTAAATAGTTTTTAAAATCATGTTCAGTAGTTGCTGAGAAAATATTTTGGTTATTAATTATGTCGCTTTGATTATGATCGTCTTCATCATTTGATTAACTTTTGTGTTTTAACAGCTCCAGTAGCAGTTTTACCTCCCAGAAAGATGAGAGGAGTTGTTATGTTTCGAGAAGATTTTAATGGTGACCAGCTAGACATTAATAACTGGTTGTTAGCAGTGACAGCAACTGATGATTATGTGAGTTCATGATATATTTATTTAAACCATAGCAACGGTTACCATAGCTGAAGAGCTGAAGAGAGAAGCGCAGAATTCAGCGGATCTCCAGGAACTGTTTAGATACTCGCGTTTAATGATTTATTTATTTAAACCATAGCAACGGTTACCATAGCTGAAGAGCTGAAGAGAGAAGTGCAGAATTCAGCCGATCTCCAGGAATTGTTTAGTACTCGCCTTTCATATGTCACATTTCTGAGTTTGTTGAATTTTCTAAGCCCACAAGAAATCTTCGATCCTCCTCCACTGACACACCATTATTTTATACAGCGCTCTTATAATTTACACTGTATCATCATTGGCTGACAAGGACAGCTGTCTAGTCGTTCGGATGGGACGAAAAACCGAGGTCCCGTGTACACATTGGCGTGCACGTAAAAGATCCCTTGGCAGTTGGAATTCGATATAAGAGTATAGGCCGTAATGCCGCTGTCCGGGCAAAATTTCCCTCATAGCACACTGTATGGCGTATGCCCGTCTTCATTAGCCCAGGTTAGGAGCAGAACAGTAGGAAGTTAAACCCCATTTCATTTCATTCCATTTCCATTAGTATAAATTGTCAATTTAATTCCGTAATGTCTCTGCTATTGATATCTACTTTTAAAACCATACTAAAGATATAATATTTATTTAAAAAGGCTTTTGCCCAGTGATCCCTTATACCCCCGTCAGACCGGAGTGGCGTCCTTACATAGACATAACATAGATTAAATTCTTTACAGACATTACCCATATCTATTTTAATTTCTAATGATTTGTAATTTTATCTAAATAACAATTTTGTATTTATATATTTTATCAAGTATGCTCTCGTTGTATTATGTCAATGTGTGAACCACGGTGGTTCAGTGAGTAAGATATTGGCTTCCTAACCTGGAGGCCCCGTGTTACATCCCTGCGTTGGCCGAGAAAGGTCATCGGGGTTTACCGGCGAGGTTCCACCTTGTCAGTGGAGCAGCTAGAAGGGTCTGGAAAGATCGGATTAAAAACCAAGGTTCAGTGTAAACATTGGCTTGCACTTGAAAGAACGCTTGGCAGTTGGAATTCGATATTCGATAAGAGTAGGCCATAGCACTGCTGTCTGGTCAAAATTTCGCTCATATCATATTGTATGACTTTAAACCCCATTTCATTTCATGTCTAATGGCGCGGGGGAAAATGGTTAACGCGTTCGCGTTGCATTATAAGGTCTGTCATTGAGTCAAGTGGCGTTGTTTCGATTCCCCGCTTGTGCGTGATAAGAAGTAGGGTCGCCTGTCCAACCTCATGGGTTTTCACCGGGTTCTCCGGATTCCTCCCACTGCTAAAGACCCCTTCAGGCAAGCGAATTATTGAAATATGTTGTACGTGACAAGGAGTAGAGTTGCCTTTCCATCCTCGTAGGTTTTCTCCGGTTTCCTCCCTTTGCTAACGAACCCTACACTCAAGCGAATTATTGAAATAAATTGAACCATATATGTTAGTCCTGAAATGGCCTAGTTTGTGTCGAATGGACGTTAAACACACCCTCTCTCTGTGTGTGTGTGTGTCTCTCTCTCTCCCATATGACTTTGTTAAGCGCACATGATAATAGTAATAAAATATAGCAGTTGCCCGGCACCTCGAGCATATTGATCTCATGACAAAAAACTTAAAGATACATTATCGGAGGCTAGATAACGAGTTGGCAGTTCTCACTATAATAGTTAAAAACTAGATAATGTAAAGGTAATTTGTTGAAAATTTCAGTCACATTGATCCACTATGAACCGAGAAATAAGCGATCGGAAGTTCCGCATAGCCTCGGTCATCATTACTACAGTCGATACGCCAAAAATCATAGTCTCGATTATCCATTTAATCGTTAAATCTAGAAGGAAAGTTATGCAGCAAATCGGATCATAATCCTACAATTATCGCAGGCTAGCGTTGACATCGAGATTTGATTATGGTCTGGATAAGTTAATTAATGTCTAATTTAGATAACATTTCAGACCTAAAGAAAGATCTACAATAGGCAGATTTGGCTCTTGCATAATGTATGTTTAACATTGTAAATACAACTACATCTATATTGCTATGATGGGACATGTCACTGTGTTAGTATATGATTCTATATATGTCATAGTTATTAATTATTATGTTTGCAGCAAGTAGAATTCCAAGCTTATACAAATGATAAAAGAAATGTATTTGTAAGGAATGGTTACCTGTATCTAAAACCTGTAAGTTATTCAAATAAAACATAAATTATTTATTACTAATTATTTTTTATTATTAAGAGACTTGAATTAGAGACTAGCAATAAATTCAATGGTAACAATTATTCGTTTAATTTGATTCTCGGCGTAGTAATTGGTACATCGTATTTTAGATAATGAATAAAAAATAGTTTTAAAACAAATACTTCAATGGCTGAATCAATCGGTGTAGTTACTTGATTTCAGACACTTACTGTGGACAGTGGTCATTTTACTGAGGACGATTTACAGCACGGTGTTATGGACTTGAAAAGTATGTAAATATGATTTTCAAATATATCTAAATATAGCTACTGCCAATTATAAACAAAGTATGAAAATACCGTTTCAAAATACATTGCCAGTGAACAAACAAAATATGTAACTGTTTTAAAATATATTGCCAGTGAAGAAAGTATATAAATACTGGTTTAAAATATATGTAAGTGTCATGTGCGGGGTAGGGTATGCTGAAGATGATCTGTAATGTTTATAGAAACGTGGGGAGTGTGTACAGAGGGTGGTAATAATGGCTGCTACCGTGATTCTAAAAAGGATATCTTACCACCAACCCTATCTGGAAGAGTCCTTAGTAAACCCAATATAAAATATGGTACCATTACAGTTAGAGCTCAAATACCTCGTGGAGATTGGCTGTGGCCAGGTATGGTATCTTTTATACTGAAAAAATAATATCTATAATTATCAATAATATTACAGTATTTATAACACGTGCAGTCATCATGAGAGTCCAGAACTAAGATTGGGCAAACAACCAGGTATTAATAGCCTGATTTTTTAAAAATGATTTAATTCTGTTATTTTTTTTTTAAAGCTATCTGGATGATGCCAAGTAAACCAGATTATGGATGGTGGCCGGCATCTGGAGAAATAGACTTCATGGAAGCCACTTGTAAGTAGAATTTCAGCACGTCCATATTGGATCACTAGGTTTGTCAAAAGTCGACGTAGCATTTTCAAAACTATATCACTTTTCGTGAATCTTCCAGAAGTCCCACTTAACCATTTACTTACTCCAATTGCTCTTTTGTTTGGCCATTATTTATGTGTGATTACACCTTAATTGCTCCTCGTGATTTTACACAGAGTGGTTTCCCCTTGTCACTGGTGTAAACGGGGGGGAGGGGGCTGCTGACATACAATGTCTAGATGTTCGGATGGGATGACATGCGCCCCCATCCGATTTTGGTTATCCCGGAAGTAAAGCGGAAACCAGAAAGTCCAAGCACACCAATTATATTAGATGTGTTGGATTTCCTATGTTATCGATCTCAAATTTTCAAATGGTCATTATTTATTTTATTTTAAGGTGGATAGGAAAAAGTAGGAGGGATGGGCGTTTAATGACTACATTGACAGTCAAGGGGTCGATACCTTGACTCAGGTTAGGAATCGCTGATCAATTTTCAACCATACAGTATCTGTATAAATTTATATTGTATAACCGACCCTAAAGTATAAAAGAATCACCATTTTAGTGCATTAATAAAACTAAAAACAAATTTAACTCGCAATCCAGGTAACCAAGTAATGCATGATTCGAATGGTAAAAATGTTGGTGTACAGCGAATTTTCTCAACGTATCACATGGCACCACAAGGTGGTAATTTTGCCGTGGGCAGAACATTGTAAGATTCTTTATCAATATTCAATCGTTACTCCAATACATTGAGAATAAAGATCATTTAGCTGATTGTTATTTTGAAAGCGCTGATCGTCACTTGATTGACACTATTGTGAGATTGTGAAAAGCAACATTATATCAGTCCAAGAAAATTATTTCTGTTCCAAATTTACAAAGTTCGCAAAAATTAGCATCATATGGAAACAATATAAACAAAATAGTGTCACATATAAATAAAGTGTAAAAATTTTGGTTGGACATCTTTTTTCATCCGAACAATCCGACGTTAGCTACCATGGATGCTTTTTTTTCTTAAAGATACATTATGTAAGATTTAGATAACGAGCTGGCCATTCTTGCTATAATATACTATTCAAAAAAAGTAGGGGATATTTGATTTTGGGGGCATAATACTAAAATATGCAAATGACTACGAAAAAAGTCACTATAGAACCTAACAGAAGAAACATTTCCAGTTACATGTGACGCCCAAACGCACCAATAGCTACCGCATGGAATGCAGGTGATGCTTGGGATCATCACGGGGGTCCAACCCAAGATTTGCACGACTCTGACTTTGAATGTTACAGTCATTGTAGCATTGAATTCCAGGGTGGAAACATCAGTTTAATTGTTTTAGTGACCAGAAAACAAATTTTGATATGCGTCGGCTTACCCAAAATGAAAGGTTACGTGCCCTTGGCATGCTACAGATCGGCACAACACAGGCGGTTGTGGCGCGGACGATGAATGTTTCTCAGTCTGTCATAAGCAGGCTATGGTCCAGATACCGTGATACACAATCTGTACAGGACAGACCACGCTCAGGTCGACCAAGGGCGACAACTCAAGGCCAGGATCGATTTATCCGTACCTTGGCCTTGAGAAATCGTGTCATCACAGCAAATCAGATCAGCGCTCGTCTTCAAACAGACACTGGTGTGAGAGTGAGTGGCCAGACGATTCGGAATCGACTACATAGGGGTCACCTTCGCGACCGACGTCCTCGCGTGATCCCTTGTTTGAGAGATCATCACATTCAGGCAAGACGTCGTTGGTGTAGGGATCGTCAACACTGGGATAATCGACGCTGGAGCAATGTGATGTTTTCAGATGAGTCAAGGTTCACTGTTGATTTTTTGGACAGACGTAGGAGGGTGTGGCGTCGTCGAAACGAGCGCTTCCAAGACGTTAACGTCATCAGACATGATCGATTTAAGGGTGGTTCTGTTATGGTGTGGGGAGGCATCACTGTTGCTGGAAGAACGGCTTTACATGTTGTTGCAGGGCGTGTTACAGGCCAGTACTACCGGGACAAAATCTTGGCAGTCCATGTTGTGCCGTTCGCACGACGTCATGGCCGCCGTTTCATCTTCCAGGATGACAACGCAAGATGTCACAGGGCCAGGATCGTTACAGGTTACCTCCAACAACAGAACATCACCACATTACCTTGGCCAGCACTGAGTCCCGACCTCTCCCCCATCGAGCATGTCTGGGACATGCTTGGACAGAGGTTACGTCAACGTCAACAACGTCCTGCCAATGTCCAAGAACTTGCTGCTGCGTTGCAACAGGAATGGGACAATCTGGACCAAAATGACCTTAGACGTCTCATTAGGAGTATGCCACGTCGGATCAATGCTTGTTTGGCAAACAGAGGAGGATTTACCCGTTACTGACTTGGTTGTGATGCTGTGGTAACTTTGCTGTTTGACCCCCAGTATCATTTTACCCTTATAATGGCCAGTCTGTGCCTTACTTAGTCTAACGATCATTTGGAATAAATCGATGAATGTGAACTTCATTTCATTTTGTCATTTGTTTCTTCGTCAGTTTCATTAGGTGACTTCAATAACACTTAAAAATCAAATATCCCCTACTTTTTTTGAATAGTAGTTCAAAAATAGATAATGTAAAATGGAAATATTGACAATTTCATTCAAATTACTCCATTCTGATCCAAGTTGTCACTATAGTTTTGACTACAGTTGTTCTCATAGTAAATGGCTAACCGTTCTAATCTAGTTCCAACGAGGGTTGATCATGGTCTTGTTTTGTTAATTAATGTCTAATTAATAGTTTATATAACATCTCTGCCTAAAGAAAGACCTGCAATATGAAGATTTAGCTCTTGCATAATGTATGTTTAATTAAATGTTAACGCTTAGTAAGCTGATAAACATTAGATAGTATCTATAAAAAAAAAAAAAAATTTTAACATTTTTTTTTTAACATTTTTTTTTTTTTTTTTTTTCTTCCCTCCGCACCCGCACCTCTTCACTTATTTTATATAGAGCTTTGCGATATAATTCATCTGACTTTACTTATATTACTTATAAATTATTTATTATTCTATATACAATTTCACAATCTTGTTTGTATTAAATTTTGTCTATCATTTGTATGTATGGAAAGGGCTTTTCTAAGTTTTTGAAACTTGTGCTCAATCCTTTTGATATTTGTCAATAAAATATGTTTAAACTTTAAACCATCTATAAAACACACGAAGGGGGTCGCTGACATTAAAGAGACAATATCACTTCCAACAAGAAAATCAATTTAAATAAATTGAATAATACCATATTCTATAATTAACATTAGACTCGCCTTATGATCGAAAGTCCAATTACTGACCCTTTCAGAGTGAGATAATTTACTTTCGCTCATCTTCTCGAAAACCGCTGAAAGTAGCCTCTTTAAATCTCAACAACTAATTAACTGGTCCGTCCCCATGAACTATGAAAAAAACCAAGGCTCCGGAAATGTAAGGGCGGTCTACATGTACCTTGGCATGTTTGGTCCTTTCATAATTGTTCATCAAGTGAAGGATTTTGATATTCATGATATTACAATTCCAAGATGGCTACCATGACGTCACCCTCGGTTACTGGTTCATAGTACGCCCGTACTAGTTATTACAATTCCAAAATGGCTGCGATGACGTCACACTCGGTGCCTGGTTCATAGTACGCCCATACTTGTTATTACTACTCCAAAATGGCTGCGATGACGTCACACTCGGTGCCTGGTTCATAGTACGCCCATACATGTTATTAATACTCCAAAATGTCTGCGATGACGTCCCACTCAGTGCCCTGTTCATAGTACGGCTATACTAGTTATCACAGGTATTATAAAACTGCACACCGTGTATGATAATATCCCAGGGTAAATTGACTAGTATTATATATTTATTATAAAACTACACAACATGTATGATAATATACCAGAGTAAATTGATTTGTACTATATATTTATTTCAGTACAAAAGACACTGGTGATTGGCATGGTTTCCACAACTACGAACTAGAATGGTCTCCTGATCGCTTAGTGTACGTCTAGCATGTTAACATTTAATATTTTTCACTTACGTAAAGGTAACGATGTTTGAAGCACTCGTATTTTCAGAAACAATCAAACTCCGAGCGTATTATGCTCTTAGATATGAAAGCGGATTAAATGGTCTTTGCAACATCACGACTTCCTTAAAGTTGATCTGTCGACTTATTCTCCACAACTTCATTGTGACAACTTCTTTACCTTTAAGGATATAATCTAATTTAGGGGCTCAATGAAATATTTTGATATAAACCATCCTTGTGATTGTGCGTTTCAACTGTATTTGTGCTCACATCCCAAATATTTCACACCACTCTTTCTCCGGCCAAAAGTGGTGTGAAGGAAATATTGACATGGAAACGGAAGCTGGCGTTGTTAGCTGACAAGGAACCACGGTGGCTCAGTGAGTAAATTGACACGGAGCCACGGTGACTTAGTGAGTAAATTGACAAGGAGCCACTTTGGCACGGTGAGTAAATTGACACCGAGCCACGGTGGCTCTGTGAGTAAAAGTGACAAAGAGACACTGTGGCGTGGCTTAGTGAGTAAATTGACAAGGAGCCACTGTGGCTCAGTGAGCAAATTGACACGGAGCCACCTTGGCTCAGTGAGTAAATTTTCACAGAGCCACTGTGGCTCAGTGAGTAAATTGACACGGAGCCACGGACTCTCAGTGAGTAAACTGACACGGATGGCGTGATAAGGATAGTGTCTAGTTACCGAGATCCACTGTATGCAATAACTATAGCACACACGGGAATATTTTTACATATGTTTTGTTCATAACTACATAAAATTTAATTGAAGATGAATATATGAACCACTTAAAACATTTTGGATTGGATTTACTTTTTTGTATTAGTATAAAAGTTGATGGAAAATGGATGAACACAATAGATGTTCATGATGGATCTTCAATCTGGGATATGTTTAACCTGAAGGGAGATAATCCATGGGTTAATGGTACCAAAATTGCGCCGTTTGATAAAGAGGTACAGTTGTTCAATAGTTCCCGGAATTATAATATTTTAATTTTCATTCGATTTATTTTAAAACTGATTTGTTAAGTTTATTTTGACCAGCGTCGCCAGATTCGGGACATTTGAGATATTGGACAAAATGACTACTCAATAGTTTTAAGGTATGAATGATACAAACTTCCAAAACCATTTCAAAAATGAAAAATGGCGTCATACCACGGGATCCACAAACAAAATAAGAAACATTTGAAAGAAACGGAAAATACAGATTGTTTTCTAAATCTGATTTCTTTTTTCAGTTTTATCTGATTTTAAACGTTGCTGTTGGAGGAACCACTTCAATGTTCAGCGACAGCTTCACCTACCCATATACTAAACCTTGGAAGAATTCTGATGCAAGGCCTATGGCAAATTTCTGGGCTGGTAGGAATCTATGGCTACCATCCTGGCATGGCGATGATGTGGCAATGATTATTGATTATGTAGAATTTAGACATATGTAAACCCTTTGTGTAACAACCTGTTTCAGCAAGGTTTTTTTTGGAATAAACATTCCTCTTATCTTCAAATAGGCACCTTTTGGTGTACCAATTAATCTGAGAAATGTAAACGCCGTAAGCTCGAAATTTGGATATATTACTGAACTTGTTTGGTAAAATAATATGTTCCTCGCTTTAATAGTCAATAAGTAACAATACTTTAAAATGTTAAAAAGTTATTAAATCAGTACTGAAATCAATTTGTCTCGGCATACCTTTTATCTTTTCATCGTTTACCATGAAACAAAGTAGTGCAGCTTTATATTGATTAAATTTGTAACACCCCCTTTCAGCAAGGTTTGTTTGGTAATACATATTCGCCTTATTTTAAAATAGACACCTTCTAGTGGGCGATGTTATGCAAATGTGTCCCAACCATAAAATTGCCAAAAATCTGACGTGTAAGTAACTTAAATTTAACCGTAAAATTTTACCATTATTGGACGCTGAGCCAACTCTAACGTAAATTTAACGATCAATGTTAACTAGGAATGTGTCCCAACCCTCAAATTTCTAAAAAAATCGGTTTACTTAATGCTTTCATTAAAGAATTCATGATATGCAATATTGTTCTAACCAATATCTATTAATAGAACGAAGCTATATATAGATTGTTGAATAGAACATCATTACCAATATAATCTAACTCCTTTTGATTATAAAACAAGTTTTGTATTTCGCAAACAAAACTTGTGGGTTAAGTCATTCTTCTGGTAATTATGTTGATGATTGATGTGCTAGGAGGGAAATTTTGCCTGGACAGCGGCGCTACGGCCTATTCTTATGTCGAATTCCAACTACCAAGGATCTTTTACGTGCACGCCAATATGTACATCTGACGACGAATTATGATTAATTAAAAAAAAAAAAACAACAAAGACATGGCCCATGAAGAGAGCTATTTGACAAAAAATTATAAAGGGTGTTGGATATTTAACTGGCAATGCAATGAAATGACATTCTTAAATTAATTTCATGGGCGTCAACATCTTGTTTTAGGGCTAGTTTCCTCCCGCCATTGGCCTATAAATTATCAACGCATCCCGGCTACTATCACCCCCGGCAAGAAAGAAAATGTAAATTATTTTATAATAACCTTCGACTCGGCTAATGATCGTAAATCCAAACACAGGCCTTCTCAGAGTGAGGTACGTTCGCTCATCTTCTTGGAAACGACAAATTGTGCCAGTAGCTGGTCCGTCCGCAAGTACTATCCATCTTATTCTTGTTCTTGTTGTTTTAGTTCCTCGAAAATTACATCATAATCCCAAGATGGCTACGTCGAAAATGAAATGAATTGAAATGGGGTTTAACGTCCTACTGGCATATGCCATATCAAATTCCAACGTGCACGCGAATATGTACATGGGACCTCTGTTTTTCGTCCAATCCAAACGACTAGACAGCTGTCCGTATCAGGCCCTCCGTATTGCACCCACCCTCGTTATCGCCAGTGATCTCATTCTGTTCAACTCCACTAACTCCTGGGTTAATCTATATGGGTGAGGGGGGGGGCGTTATCAAGTTATCCACCCAGGATGATTGTGCTATTTTTATCCACCAATCACATAATCGTTAATTGAAAAGGAAGTTGATAAAGGGAAGTAACTCTCATCGGGTAAAGTAAGCAAAACGCAAAGGCTACCCTTCAAGAGACACGGTTAGGAATTAGCAAGAAACTGGCCTAAATGAAAGAAGTCCAAATTACACTAAATGCGTATTTATTAACACCAAATTACAGTTATTATATGATATATGAACGAAGACTGGACATGTACGTTCAAGAGTTTTATTGAGAATCAAATTACCAAGTATAAGTTCAATAACGATAAACATCACAGAATGAATAATTTTAGACAAAGAACGAATAGTAATAATAGTAACAAAAGTCAAACATATAGATGTTATACATATTTGCAATCAGCCAAACATACTTCAGATTTTTATAATACAATTAAATATAAATGAATTAGAAATATATACATTACGTACATAAATCATTCAGTAAATGGACATGAATAGGGTTATCTACCTTTATAAAAACGAATGCGAAACGAAGGCCGTTTCATAAGTAAGACTGCTTTGTAAACTGTTTTTTTGATTGTTTCGTAGACTTTAGCTACAATCAAGGCCAGGGCAGATAATGGATTATCCCGGGGTATAGTGGAGTAGAATGGAATGATGATTGTCGTGGTAATCCAGCACATGGCAAACAGGCGTCAATGGTGTAGGCAGCGTAGAAATTAGGGTAATCATCGATGGGCGCGTGTCATGTTCTCAGATGAGTCCAGATTTACTCTGGATATCACCGATAGGCGTGCTCGCGTTTGGAGGCATGTAAATGAGCGTCATGTACGCCAGACAGCCTGACCGATTCGGGCGTGGATCTGTTATGATGTGGGCAGGAATCACCATGACTGGCAGAACGGACTTGCATTTTGTTCAAGGTAGGGTCACTGGTGTGTACTACCGTGACCACATCCTGGCGTGAATGACTACCTCCAGCATCACCATACCACATAACTCCTGTTTTATATAATTTACACTGGTTACCTGTTAAATATCGAATTGATTTTAAGATTTTGATTTTAAGATTTTATTACTTACTTTTAAATGTTTAAATAATTTAGCTCCTGTTTAAGACTTTAAGATTTTATTACTTACTTTTAAAAGTTTAAATAATTTAGCTTCTGTTTACCTCTCAGATCCTTTAGAACTTTATACACCTGGCCGAACATTATCTTCATCAGATAAACTACTTTTAAAGCCCAAAACTGTCCAACTAGTGTCTTATGGTCAGCGCTCTTTTAGTTATCAAGCACCTGTTTTATGGAATAATCTACCATTTAGTTTAAGATGTTGTACATCTCTATATTCTTTTAAAAAAACAACTTAAAACACATTTATTTAATCAGGCTTTTAACTGACTCTGTATACAATCGTTAACATGCCCATAATCTTGTTGTTTATTTATGATTTACATTGTCACTTTGTAAAGTGCCTCTGAACATGTTATATGAAAGGGTGCACTATAAATATGCTGTAATAATAATAATAATAATAATATTCACCTAGGTCGATCGACGTTTACGATATCGCAGACCCAACGCTGAATGGACAAGGAATAATACCAACTAAGACTAAATTATTGAAACAACTGATCACCAGTCTACTACATTTTATCATACCAGTCTACTACATTCAATCATACCAGTCTACTACATGTTATCATACCAGTCTACCACATTTTATCATACCAGTCTACCACATTTTATCATACCGTCTCCATTAGCCCAATCAATGGTAAGCTAGCCCAGTAGATTGTAAGCTAGCCATGGATTTTCACATGCAAACTTTGAGCTGTGTAAAGTGCCGCGAACAGTTTCCATAGATTGTGGTCAAGCCTTTGTACGAAATAACTTATTTGCATCCATTATGATGGGTCCAATTTTCAAGACACGATTTCTCGTGCAAAAAATGTCATTTTCAGTCAAAAATGAAGCTTTTGGACATTAATCGGACAATTGCGGTTTTCGGCCAATTTTACAGCCACATACTAAACGTCCAATATCCATATAAGATAAATCAATGGACATCACGAGCTTACGGCGTTTACATTACTCTGATTAATCGATACAATAAAAGGTGACTATTTCAAGATAAGAGGGGTATTTATTACTAAAAAACACTTGCTGGAACAGGTTGTTACATATGTATATAACAAAGGGTTTACATATGTCTAAATTCTACATAATCAATAATCATGGCCACATCATCGCCATGCCAGGATGGTAGCCACAGATTCCTACCAGCCCAGAAATTTGCCATAGGCCTTGCATCAGAATTCGTCCAAGGTTTAGGATATGGGTAAGTGAAGCTGTCGCTGAACATTCCACCAATTCCACCAACAGAAACGTTTAAAATCAGATAAAACTGAAAAAAAAGATACCAGATTTAGAAAACACTCTGTATTTTCAGTTTCTTTCAAATTTCTTATTTTGTTTGTGGATCCGTGGCAGGATGTAGTTGTTCATTTCTGCAAAGTTTTTGGGGGTTTGTATCTTTCATACCTTTAAATCACTGCGTAACGTTTTGTCCAATATCTCAAAAGTTCAGAATCTAGGGACGCTGATCGACTAGTTATGCACTAGCTGAATAAACTTAACAAATCAGTTCTTAAAATAAATTGAATGAAAATATTATACTTCTGGGAACGCAAATAAGTCTTTGGGGGGATATGGGTCATCAATGAACTATTGAACAAAAGTACCTCTTTATCAAAAGGCGCAATCTTGGTACCATTAACCCATGGATTAGCTCCCTTCATATTAAACATATCCCAGATTGAAGATCCATCAGGAACATCTATTCTGTTAATCACTTTTCCATCAATTTTTATACTAATACAAAAAAGTAAATTCAATCTCATATATATTTTAATATGTTCATATTTATGTAGTTATGAACAAAACATATGTAAAAATATTACCGTGTGCGTTAGTTATTACATAGAGTCTACACGGGTTCTCGGTAACTAGACACTATCCTTGTCAGGCAATCCGTTCTCTGCCACTAACATGCGGAAACCCTCACTGAACTTTCTCGACCATCACCGGAATGGAACCCGGTCAGTTTACTCACTGAGCCACCGTGGCTCCTTGTCTCCATGGTAATATACAATCACAGCCATAGGTTTTGGTCGTATAAAGAGTGAAATATTTGTTGTGTTAAATATTTTCTTTTTCACAAGACTAACTATGTGGAGTTTATGGATTTTTAATGCTATCAAAACACCATGCCTTCCTTAAAGGGCAATATTGGTGCCAGTCAATAACACATATGTGATAGAACTGGTTAAACACGTTCCAAATATAATTTTAACACGGGATCATTGCTTTGATAGATGCTTAAATCAATGCGTAATTTCTGTTCACTAATAATTCCTTCGAAGATCAAAAGTCGTTAAATGAGACTGTAAGAGTATATCTGACAATTCCAAAAAGTAATAGAATGTCATTAGATAAGAGAACACGAGAAAAGTAGTTGGTCTGTCGACTTATTCTCCACAACTACATTGTGACACCTTCTTTATCTTTAAAGATATAATCTAATTTAGGGGCTCTATGAAATATTTTGATGTAAAAAAACAACGTTGTGGCTGTGCGTTTCAGTTGTATCTATCAGAAATACTGGTGCATCAAACCTCGTTGCCTTTACTAAGTGACAAATATTAAATGTTAAGATGCTAGACGTACATTAAGCGATCAGGAGACCATTCTAGTTGGTAGTCGTGGAAACCATGCCAATCACCAGTGTCTTTTGTACTGAAATAAATATATAGTACTAGTCAATTTACTCTGGTGTTTAGTTTTATAATAAATATATAATACTAGTCAATTTACCCTGACATATTATTATACATGGTGTGTTATTTTATAATAAATATATACTCGTCAATTTACTCTGGCATATTATCATACATGGTGTGTAGTTTTATAATACTGGTTATAACTAGTATGGGCGTACTATGAACCAGGCACCGAGTGTGACGTCATTGCAGCTATTTTGGAATTGTAATAACATGTATGGGCGTACTATGAACAAGCAGTTGACTCAATGACAGATCGTATGATACAACGCTTACGGGTTAACCATACCGCCACCCCCACACCTCCACTCCCAACAATAGATTTTACCCGTCACTAATATGTGAAACTATTTTGTTTGTATCGTTTGCAGCGGATGCTGATTGTGAATACAGACCAGAAATGATTAATTTTGGACTGATATATATGTTGCTTTTCACAATCTCGCACAGTCAAATAAGGATCCGTGCTTTCAAAATAGCAATCAGCTAAATGATCTTTTTTTGCAATGTACTGGAATAAAGATTGAATATTGATAAAGCTGGATCATCTTACAATGTTCTGCCCTGGGCAAAATTACCCCCTCGTGGTGCCATGTGGAACGTTGAGAAAACTCGCTGTACACCAACATTTTTACCATCCCAAGTATGCATTACTTCGTTACCTGGATTTAGAGGTAAATTTGTTTATTATTTATACACTAAACGCCCAACCCTCCTATTTTTTCCCATCGACCTTAAAATAAAAAAAATAATGACCACTTGAAAATTTGAGATGGATAACGTATTTATAGATCTAATCTAATGTAAACTGTTATAGTTTTAAAAGTGCTAGGTCAATTTTTGACAAACCTAGGGATCCAGTGTTTATTGGGTAAATGGACGTGCTGAAATTCTACTTACATGTGGCTTCCATGAAGTCTATTTCACCAGATACCGGCCACCATCCATATTCTTGTTTCCTGGGCATCATCCAGATTGCTTTGAAAAATAACAGAATTTGAAGTTTTACAAGACTAAAAATTATAACCAAAATGTATAAATTTGGGTAGTCCATATATCGCGTTTTGTTCATTATGGAGACATTATTGGCAGATCATGGTATCAATTAGGTTCATATAGCTTATGTAGCTGGTTTCTATCGTATCTGGAGATTTAGTTTGACTTATGTCAAGACAAGCGTGTAGATATGGTTCAGTTTAAAGTTATATTCCTCTGACACGTCTTCGCATATATTATAAATATGGTTTATGGTTGTTGATACTTCTAGTTTCTCTTTTATAGGTGCATTATGTAAGAGCTAAAACTGCTCACAAAGAATTCTCAGACTAAAGTGAAGAATTTTCTCAAAATTGTTCGCCTGATTTTAACTAAATTATATCCCTTTATAAAACTTTTGTTGTTTTAATATATCAAATACAGCAATAAGAAACTATGTGCAAAGTTTTGTGTTTCTGGATCAAATATATATCTCATAAACAGTGATTAAAAGTTGAGTAAATTCTTAACTTTAGTCTGAGAATGCTTTGTGACCTCGGGGCCAGATCTTTCTTTTGACTTTAATCACATGACAATCAGAGAGAGAGAGAGAGAGAGAGAGAGAGAGGGGGGGAGAGAGAGAAGAGAGAGAGAGAGAGAAGAGAGAGAGAGAGAGTAGAGAGAGAGGGGGAGAGAGAGAAGAGAGAGAGAGAGAGAGAGAGAGAGAGAGAGAGAGAGAGAAGAGAGAGAGAGTGAGAGGGAGAGAGAGAGAGTGAGAGAGAGAGGGGGAGAGAGAAAGAGAGAGAGAGTGAGGGGGGGAGAGTGAGAGAGAAATTGGGTTTAACGTCCACTCGACACAAACAAGGTCATTTCGGGACTAACATATGGTTTAATTTTTATTTCAATAATTCGCTTACGCGTAGGGTTTTTAGCAATGGCCGGAAACCGGAGGACCCGGAGAAAAACCCACGAGGTTGGACAGGCGACCCTACTCTTTGTCACGTACAACCGGGAATCGAAACGTGCTAACCATTCGGCCATCCCCCCCCCCCCCCCACATGACAATCAACTCTGTAGATCATCGGATTTTGAATGGATTGAAACACGAATGCTATATAATAATTTAACTAAAAACTGGATAGTCGAGATTTTGTTTATAATCGTTACAATGGTACATGACATTCGAGACTATCTTGTGAAAATTTCAAACACTCATAACTTCTTTCAGAATAAGTCAATTTGACTGAAATTGTCAGCATATTATTTTTCTTTTAGTGTCTATTTTGAACTAGTATTGCAAGAATAGCCAGCTCTTTACCTAAATCTTACATAATATTATTATTTTAGTATCTATTTTGAACTAGTATTGCGAGAACGGCCATCTCTTACCATTTGACAAGATCTTACATAATGCGTCTTTAATATTATTGGGGGGGGGGGGTGGCCGAATGGTTAGCACGCTCGCGCTGTATCATAAGGCCTGTCATTGAGTCAACTGGCGTGGTTTCGAATCCCCGGTTGTACGTGACAAGGAGTAGGGTCGCCTGTCCAACCTCGTGGGTTTTCTCCGGGTCCTCCGGTTTCCTCCCACTGCTAAAGACCCCTATGCGCAAGCGAATTATTGAAATAAAATTAAACCATATGTTAGTCCCGAAATGACCTAGTTTGTGTCGAGTGGACGTTAAACCCCATTTCTCTCTCTCTCTTTTTAATATTATTGTCATCCCTCGTCCTTCTTCTTGTTAATCGTCATATTCCACAGATAATTTTACAAGTCAAATGTTAAACCATTTTAAACAATCCGGCTATAAATTAATACCTGGCCATTTGTCCAATCTGGGTTCTGAACTAATAGTAAGTGCAGGAGGACCGCACTACACGTAAAACAAAAATCTACAAGATAAACCTGCGGACAAGACAGAAAATAGACATTGCACCAAATAAACAAATATCAAATCAAGTGAATGGATCCGGGGGTCAGCCGTAAGCGTCCACTGCGCTGTACAGTCCCAGGCATGTAGTGACACAGACTTCACTCAAATTTGAAAACAATCAGGAATACAAAAAAGACGTAACAGAAATAATGCGACCGATCTTAACACTGAATAAAGAGCTGTTTGGTCTTCCGTAATACTGTGAAGACGGAACTTGATTGATAATCGTTATTCATTTGCCAACATTTTTCAGTATAAAAGATACCATACCTGGCCACAGCCAATCTCCACGAGGTATTTGAGCTCTAACTGTAATGGTACCATATTTTATATTGGGTTTACTAAGAACTCTTCCAGACAGGGTTGGTGGTAAGATATCCTTTTTAGAATCACGGTAGCAGCCATTATTACCACTCTCTGTACACACTCCCCACGTTTCTATAAATATTACAGATCATCTTCAGCATACCCTACCGCGCACATGACACTTACATGTATTGTAAACTCGTATTTATATACTTTTAAAACCGTTACATATTTTGTCTATTCACTGGCAATATATTTTAAAACAGTATTTTCATACTTTGTTTATAATTGGCAGCAGATAAATTTAGATATATTTTAAAACCGTATTTACATACTTTTCAAGTCCATAACACCGTGCTGTAAATCGTCCTCAGTAAAATGACCACTGTCCACAGTAAGCGTCTAAAATAACATTTAGAAAGTTAAAAAATCAGGTAACTAAACCGATTGATTATGCCAGTGTATATAGTATTTTTTTAAAACTTTTTTATTCATTATCTAAAATACGATGTAGCAATTACTGCGCCTAGCCTCTTGATAATATAAATTAGACGATTAATTGTTACCATTGAATGTTTTGCTAGTCCCTAATTCAAGTAATATATAAGTTTTATGTTTTATTTGATATTGAGTAATTAACACATACATATCTAAATAACTTACAGGTTTTAGATACAGGAAACCGTTCTTTACAAATACATTTCTTTTATCATTTGTATAAGCTTGGAATTGTGCTTGCTGGAAACATGATTAGAAATAGAATCACTATCAGTTTGAACAAGTTCAAAGTGACATTTAGGAAATGTGCTATTTACACATTAAAAAGTTAGAGTAAGTAGTTTCAAATCTATTCGGGCCGAAACAGTGAACCAAGAGAAATCTTTAAAAAGGTTGTGGTGTGGTTAGGGCTAGGTGATTTGGTCATGGCCACCTTCCTGAAGGTGCTGTAGGTGCTGAAGTTGGCACTGTGGAATATCTACAAGGAGGTTTGTTGCAGTAGTCAAGACGGTAAAAAAATTAAGAACCAGCTAGGGATGAATTTTAAATGAAAATAACATTTGCTTGATAAATCATCAATCTGTGGAAAAAAAAAGAGTACCCTTCTCTAGTAATATTCTCGAGCTGCACGGAGAATGATTTTATTTGGGACAATCTATGTTTGGGGACCAAAACAGATGGATTTTGTTTTGTCATCATTTTGTTTTAAGCAGGTTGGGTCCATGCAGGTCTTTATGATTGTGATTGCCAAAGAAAGTTGTGAGTTTATAGTATCCAACAAGCTCTAAAGTTAGACATATGAAACGCAGGTACAAAATAGTTCTTGGAGATCCGCTGAGTTTTGCGCTTCCCTCTTCAGCTCTTCAGCTATGGTAAGCATTATTATAGTTTAAATGAATAAAGAATGTACTCACATAATCATCAGTTGCTGTCACTGCTAATAACCACTTATTAATGTCTAGCTGGTCACCATTAAAATCATCTCGAAACATAACAACACCTCTCATCTTTTTGGGAGGTAAAACTGCTACTGAAGCTGTTAAAACACAAATAAAATGAAGAAGAACATAATCAAAGCGACATAATTAATAACCAAAATATTTTCTCAGCAACTACTGAACAGGATTTTAAAAATTATTTGAAATTGTGCATAACCGGATTGTATCAAAATGAACTATGCATGCACCTGTTTGTCGTTGGGTGTTGTAAAGTTAGTATCTCAATTTAGTTATTGGTTCTCAGTTGCTCCTAGCATGCCGTTCAAGATTTTACGTTTAGTCACTGGGTATCTTAGTTGCTTCTAGTATGCCGTTAAGGATTTTACGTTTAGACACTGGATATCTTAGCTGCTTCCTTTATGCCGTTAAAGATTTTATGTTTAGTATCTCAGTTGCTTATAGTATGACGTTAAATACTTTATGTTTAGCTATTGGTTTATCAGTTGCTTCCGGTGTGCGGGTACAGATTTTTTGCTTAGTTATTGGGTATCTCGGTGCTTCTAGTATAGACGTTAAAGACTTTTTTGTTGAGTTATTGGGTTGTTAGTTTCTTCTAGTATACAGATGAATATTTTATAATCGCTTATTGAGTTCTAAGTTATTTTTAGTATGTGTTAAAGACTTAATGTTGAGTCATTGAGTTCTTAATTGCTTCAGTATGTGGGTAAAGACTTTATGTTGAGTCACTGAGTTCTTTATTGCTTCAGTATGCGAGTAAAGATTTGACGTTGAGTCATTGAGTTTTCAATTGCTTCAATATGTGGGTAAAGACTTCGTGTTAGTTGTTGTGTTCTCAGTTACTTCCGGTGTGCGGATAAAGACGTATTATATAATACGTTACCTCTGTTCCATTTCTGTTTTACACTGGTTACTACACCAGTATTAAAATAAAATTCACCATAATACTGTAGACGTCTTAATGGTCTTAGTTTTGGATTTGACAGTTGCCACACCTTCGTATCTATAAAATATAATATTCAACTAACATTAATGGTGAGTCCGTGTAAGAACGCTGACACTCAATACCACACTCTTAATTTTTTGCTTGCTGAATTGGGTGGTCTAGTGGTTAAATAAGGCTTCAAACGTGTTATATATTAAACTCAGACCTTCCGGACATTGGTAACTGGTGTTTAATTCAAAGTTGGAACCAAGAAATGATATGATTATGTTACACTTGTAAAACTAATCATTACATCTATCTTGCTTCCAGCTTTGAATTTACATATTTTATTCCATAACTTTGGTTTAAATCACACAACATCTTACAGATATATATCCTTTAGGTCATCATAAAAGGTATGTAATGAGAGAGAGAGAGAGAGAGAGAGAGGGAGAGGGGGAGAATGAGAGAGAGAGACAGGCTAGGTCATTTCGGGACTAACATATGGTTGTCACGTACAACCGGGGAATCGAAACCAGGCCAATGACAGACCTTATGATACAACGGGAACACGCTAACCATTCGTCCATCCAACCCCCTTATTATGGAAACAGTTTTATATAAACAGTTTTTCTTGTTATTTCATCCTATTTACTTATATGATAAATTGTAAATACTAATCTTCTCTTGAATTTAATACTGTTTAAATCATGTGATGTATTCTGATATATAAACGTATATATAAAAGTGAACACGGTTTCCAGAGTTATTAGTATATAAAACACAACACAACGTGAAGTCTTACTGATCTAGATTTGTTGAGGCCAAACACGGGATACTGCTATAAATCAGATTTGGTACCGTTTTCCAGAATGGTGTAACACAGGCCTATACTTTCTGTGCACACTTGACTAAGAATGTGCAATAGGGACCGTGTTAAACGTCGGATTTAGTAAGCTGGTCATCGAGATAGGCTACCATATTCGACTCCAAACATTATCAAAGCCAGAGATTTTTGGGTCACGAACAAACAGCTGGGGAACATTTCTTTACAAATATTGTAACTTGAATATAAAATATTAAAATGATTTGACCGGATAAAATAAATTACTAAATTAAAATACAACCTGTAAATGTTGCTTTATCTATTATTTCATCATCATTATCAATCCAGTAGTGAAACAGAACCGTAGATAATCCGGGATAATCTAAAAAAAATATATATTCTACTTATTATCGACTATTGGGATATATATTGGTAGTCAACTAGACTGGAGATCGCGAGTTCGATCCTTGGACGGAGGGCCTGACAAGGACAGCTGTCTAGTCGTTCGGATGGTACAAAAAATCGAGGTCCTGTGTACATATTGGCGTGCAAGTAAAAGATCCCTTGGCAGTTGGAATTCGATATAAGAGTAGGCTATAGTGCCGCTGCCTGGGCAAAATTCCCCTCATAGCATAGCTGTATGGCGTATGCCCGTCTTCATTAACCCAGTCGGAGCAGAACAGTAGGACGTTAAACCCCATTTCATTTCGTTTCTTCATTCCAGTTAAACCCTAGTTTTGCATTACTTGCTATATTGTTTTGAAGAAGTCAGAAATGTTCCGAAACTAACTAACCTTTAACTGTGAATTGTCCACCAGATGGCGATAAAGTAAAGGTCGGATTGTCTAAAGCGTCTGTTACATACACTGACAAAACAACTACCAATACCAGTTTTAACGTCATTGTGGTGGGCTCAAGATTGAAGTTTGAAACAAAATCTGGTTCAAACTCTCTGTAAGCCGATATAACGTGATGGACAAATGTTGTTTCTCACGTCTGACGATATAACAAAATTATCAAAGGGGTCAAAATCTGGGTCTAAAATGTTTGCAAGTCCAAGAAACTTGATGCACAATTGCTATGTCTAATGATATGGGGAGCCACAGTGGATAAGTAAGTAAGACGCTGGCTCACTAGCCTGGATGTCGCGGGTTTGATCCCGGTGTTGGCCGAGAATGTTCATCGGGATTTTCCGACGTTGTTTCTCTTTGTCAGTGGTGCGATACATCCTCGGTATCCGCAGTGGTCTCATTCCGTTCTACTTCACTAAACCCTGGGATAATCCATGAGGACTAGCAATTATTTTCCCATTGACTTCAATGTTAAATAGCTTTTTGCTCAACATTCCGTTGGTTCCAGTCTCTATAGGCAGAATGGGGACTACATTTGGCAATCTCCTCATTCTAATTTTGTAGACGGTTGACCGATTACATTTTTTGCTACGGGGATTTGATGTTGACTGGCGTCAAAATCTCACCTCCGACACTTTGTGTAATATCAAGGATCATTGTTGATGCAGTGTTGTCTAAATTTTTATTGTGCATTTGTGTATTTTAAAGAAATCAATATGTTAGACTCGACGCAAACTAGGTCATTTCGGGACTAATATGTGGTTCAATTTTATTTCAATAATTCCACCAATCCTCAGACATTCAGCAATTCGTCGTGGCATGCTCCTAATCAACCGTCCATTCACGATTTAGGGCAATCTGACCCACTCCTCTTGCAGTGCCACGGCCAGTTCTTGCAGTGTTGTCGGTTGACGTTGACGTCGACGAACACATCTCCCGATCAAATTAAACGTAACACACTAAAGCAAAGATACGCTAAACAGTAAATCTTATGCAAGAACCGATAGGAAAGCAAACATGGATAGGATAAACCAGCAAGCGGCAGTTTTCATCAACCCTTCCTTGAAGTGTCAAATTTGATAATGAACCTCTCCCACGTTTATGACGCTATTGCGTGTCGCATGTGCAGCTCAGTGGTTCTGTTCTGGCGATAAGTTCTTCATCTGTGAACATACTCTCAAAGCATGTCAAATGTCTATGACTATTTATCATATCACAACCTGCATAGGTATCTGCATTTCAATATCCCCTACTTTTTTTGAAGAGTAAATAAACACTGATTTCGGAGACTCAGTGAAAGCCATGATTTGTCCTGTAAAAAGAACACAAATGTAATTCTAATTGGTATTCTTTATTTTACAAGTTTACATATGTCTAAACTCTACATAATCCACGATCATGGCCACATCGTCTCCGTGCCAGGTGGGCAACCAATTATTTCTAGCTTCCCAGAAATTCTTCAATGGATCTTTATCAGTATTGTGCCATGGTTTAGGATAAGCGTATGTTGTATCATAATCTCCAAACATAGAGTATATTCCACCAACAGCCACGTTCAAAATCATGTAGAACTGAAAAGACAAAGGACTTATTAACAAATTTCTCTAACAATATGGGACCACGGTGGCAAAATGTGTAAGACGCTGGCTCGCTAGCCTGGGGTCGCGTGTACGATCCCTGCATTGGCCGAGAGAGTTCATCGGGATTTTCCGACGTGGTTTCCCCTTGTCAGTGGTGCAGGATGCAGGGTCTGACAAGAACAGCTGTCTAGTCGTTCGGATGGTACGAAAGGCTGAGGTCCCGTGTATACATTGGCGAACACGTAAAAGATCCCTTTGCAAATGGAATTCGATATAAGAGTAGGCCATAGTGCCACTGCACATGCAAGATTTCCCTCATAGCACCCTGTATGGTGTATTAGCCTAGTCAGAGAAGAACAGTAGGACGCTAGACACCATTTCATTTCATTTAATAATATGACAGTCATTCTGTATTCGGTTATAGTTCTGAGAAATGGTGGATTTAACTGATCTTTTAATATGATAAATACTATGACAGGCGTTGCATTGGAAGGATTATATATACCCCGTGCGGAATAGTTCCTTGGTTACAATATTTTCAGATTTAAACAGATCAAATTAGACTTTTCACTCTGAGGCGAGGTATGGAGCTGATGCCTGTATTCCCAGTTTGTAAATCTCGATTATTTTTTTCATTTCGGTATCAATAGTTTTCAAAATGATGATTACAGAATCTAAGACGCAATTGGTTACATTCTATTTATGATCCGTCGCAACAACTTTCCCATTTCACTTTTGCGTAGTGGTTTTTGTTGTCTATCTGGTGTTGAATTGAAGACATGTGTTTGAATTAAAATTGTTCGCCAGGCTGTGGCGAATAGTCATGATTGTGTCGTGGTAGGATAGCAAAGTTAAGAGGTTTGCCAAACATTATGTACGTCGGATATTTATTCAGTAAGTACCGACTGATTAAGTATAAAGGCAAATGACACGCGTTTAAAGGGACAATAACACTCTTGCTGACTTGAAAGCTCCAGAAAATAAATAATATCTCTATCTAAGTACTAGATGTTTAAGTGTCCTACCTGTTGTGTAAATTATCCATTACATCCTATTTTACTTGTCCAGAGGGTTCGAAAATATTTTTAAATCGAAGTTTCATTTGAAAAGGTTTACGTTAGACGTTTCAAACCATTATGTTGAATTTTTCAAAATTTTTAAATAAGGAGTTTTAAGATGAAATTTGTATCATCAATTAATTGAAATATTCTAAAATAGTACAATTTGTTGACTAGAATAAAGATTGGGACATATTATTCAGTTACAACAAGAGTGGTATTGAGCCTTTAACGAAACGAATTAATTATAAACGGTTTTAAAAATTACCTCGTGATCAAATGGTGCTATTTTGGTACCATGTGTCCAAGGATTATTACCCTGTAGTTTATAGTGATCCCATACAGTAGAACCATCTGGTATATCCATTCTAGTAACAACATCGCCATCAACATACAAACTGAAATAAATGAACACGTATTTACTTTTAAGTCAAATACACTTTCGACTTCAGGGGATAAATTCATTTGAATTTTAGCACGCAGTTAGTCAATAAACACAATGCAAGGGAGGTAACTATGAATGTTGGTACGCTAAGACTAGCACCCAGTGTTGTATGACAATTTTTGTTGACTCTATTATCCAAAAGGAAAATTGGGAGTTACATTTTTGTCATGTTTTGATGAATATTGATGAGTTTGAGGCGGGATGATCAGTAATCAGACAGGAATAAGTTTATTGTCAACAAAAGAAACAAAACCTTACATGATGTGATCAGGTGACCAGTCTAATTTATAATCGTGGAATCCATGCCAATCCCCAGTTGCCTTATATCTGAAAAGACCAATTTAATTATTATTTTACATGTTGAATGACAATATATAGCTGACTAGGTTCTATAGTTTACCAGGAAATTTATCCGTTTTACATTCTACACTGGTGTACTAAGTTATTTCTATATATTCTAATACTACACATGTCTTTTAGTCGCAATTTTCATTTATTTCCATTTCATGTAAACACGTTAAAGAGAGAGAGAGAGAGAGAGAGAGAGAGAGAGATGGGTTTAACGTCCACTCGACACAAACTAGGTCATTTCGGGACTAACATATGATTTAATTTTATTTCAATAATTCGCTTGCGCGTAGGGGTCTTTAGCAGTGGGAGGAAACCGGAGGACCCGGAGAAAACCCACGAGGTTGGACAGGCGACCCTACGCCTTGTCACGTACAACCGGGGATTCGAAACCATGCCAGTTGACTCAATGACAGGTCTTATGTTAAAGCACGCACGTGCTAACCATTCAGCCATCCAACCCCCCACACGTTAAAGGAGCTAAATGGCTAATATTTGGGACCTAGAAATTTACACAAATGGGTCGCAACGCATATAATAATGTAATATGAATGTATATAAACTGATTTACATTCGATCGTTTCCGTTTTTACTCTAATTTCAAATCAGTTATGTTCGGTGAAATACGCCAAAAGTCAAAATCGAATGGCAATTTCTAGCGTCAGGTTATTCCAGTCTACACCAATATTCTGCAGATAAGAATATGTCGTCACCCTTTGACATGACTTGTGGAATATGTCTAGCCTCGTGTTTCGAGTCACTTGTTACAAATGGCTCTGAAACGCATTATGGTACACGATTCGTGTACCAATTGTAAAATATTTATTTTGCTTTAAATATTGAATATCAGAAGTCCGTCTTTTCCCCGGTAAGATCACATCATTGATGTCGATTTAAATTGACAAATAATTTGTTTTCAATGTCGAAAATATTGGATGATATTGAGTTAGAGATTTAGCTAATTTAATCCCATGTGAGCCTACAGCGGTTCGAGCCGTCCACCCAGGCTTGTGTACAAAATAAAAATAAAATACTGTTGGAAATTTTATAATGTCAGGTTCCCACTGTCGTACGATGCGTTACGATAGGATTGTTCCCACCGAGTCCTTATAAGACCTGATAGGATCACTACGATAACTTCACGATTAAAACCACGATTTTAATCGTAGCACGAATCGTGATAAGCGTGTTGCAATATTAATTTGTGGTTTGAATACCAGACGCTTCTTGTTAGAATACCATCTATACAAGTCTGGGCGAACTTACTTCCAGTTAGGTACCGGGTGATCATGCTCCAAATCTGGACCGAAGTGAAGAGTGGACTGAACTCTCTGTATTCCAACCTTCTGACCATTATCCCATACAGCATGTTCGTTACCTGTATATATATAAACCAAAACAGGTTCTAGAAACAAAATAAATCATACGGAAGTTGGGTGTCGAAGCAGATTAGATCATCCATGACCGTGTCGTGGTTCGTTTCCACACACGAGTCGCCTATCTGACCTTGTCGGTTTTCACCTGTACTAACGACTCCTTAGCGATATGACTATTTCCTCCGACTATTTGTGTTTCGTCGTCAATGTTTGAGTCTGTTCCATTTTATCGTTATAGTCTACTTGATAATAACGCCAGACCAGGGGCGGATCCAGAGGTAGGACCCACACCCCATCACCCTGCTCAGCAAAAACAAAAATTGTAAAACAACACTTTTATGAGGAAATTATCCGGGTCGTGTGCTTTATCCTTCATCATCAGATGGTGGAATGGGATGGGCATTCAAAGCGCGAGATAATGATGTAGGCATGTGTGATATCACAATGAATGCTTTGCATCAATGAATTCACAATAAAAATTGATATCAAAAGGGGTGTTGGATATCTCTCTTTAAAAAGCTCAGCGTGTTTGAATGCCTACTTAATTGTACACTGTCAAATTTCCTCAACAGGAATCTGGAAAACACCCTCCTGCAAAAATTCCTGGATCCGCCTCTACAAATCTTACAGCTATATATTCATTTTGATTACTTTTCTATAAAATCCACTGGGTAATTAAATAACCAAACATGCTTACATGCTGCTTCCATAAAGTCTATTTCTCCAGATCGAGGCCAAAGTCCATAGTTATTCTTTCTTGGCATCATCCATATTGCTAGAATAAACAACATTCATTATGAATGTATTAATAATGAGAATAAACAATATTCATTATGAATGTATTAATAATGAGAATAAACAATATTCATTATGAATGTATTAATAATGAGAATAAACAATATTCATTATGAATGTATCAATAATGAGAATAAACAATATTCATTATGAATGTATTAATAATGAGAATAAACAATATTCATTATGAATGTATCAATAATGAGAATAAACAATATTCATTATGAATGTATCAATAATGAGAATAAACAATATTCATTATGAATGTATTAATAATGAGAATAAACAATATTCATTATGAATGTATCAATAATGAGAATAAACAATATTCATTATGAATGTATTAATAATGAGAATAAACAATATTCATTATGAATGTATTAATAATGAGAATAAACAATATTCATTATGAAGTGTATTAATAATGAGAATAAACAATATTCATTATGAATGTATTAATAATGAGAATAAACAATATTCATTATGAATGTATTAATAATGAGAATAAACAATATTTATTATGAATGTATTAATAATGAGAATAAACAATATTTATTATGAATGTATTAATAATGAGAATAAACAATATTCATTAAGAATGTATCAATAATGAGAATAAACAATATTCATTATGAATGTATTAATAATGAGAATGCTATAAGGGGTATAATTTGGAAGGGGGGGGGATATGACCTAACGCGCGCACTTAATATCATAAAGTCTGTCATTGAGGCAAGTCGCGTAGTTTCAACCCCACACCTGTATGTGACAGAGAAAGAGAGAGAAATGGGGTTTAACGTCCACTCGACACAAACTAGGTCATTTCTGGACTACAGTATGTAACAAGGAGTAATGGTACTTGACTAATCTGATAAGGGCCCTTATTATGTTAGTCCTGAAATGACCAAGTTTGTGCGGCAAACGAATTGTTGAAATAAAATTACCCTAGTTTGTGTCAAATTAATCTTAAACCCCTCTCAACCCTTTCCGTCTATAATTTTGTACGTGACAAGAAGTAGGGTCGTCTGCCATCCTCGTGGGTTTTCTCCGGGTTCTCTTATTTCATCCCACTAACCATATTATTATGTTAGTCCCAAAATGACCTAGTTTGTGTGGAGTGGAGTTAAAACCCAAGGGGATATCCCTGAAGAAACTCATAACGTGTTTAAATATTAATATTTCGATTTTTTTAAAATGTCCCAAATTTCAGAGCACCGGGAGGCTAATAGAATAGATTGTTAATGAGACTGGAAGTCGGGTTGTATTTTACCTGGCCATATCCAGTCACCTCTTGGTATCTGTGCACGAACTGTAACTTGGCCATATTTTAACGTTGGTTTACTGTCTATTCTAGCTGATAATATAGGTGGTAGGAGACCATCTTTAGCTTCTCTATAACATCCCCGAAAACCAGCATCCGTACACACGCCCCATGATTCTAGAAATAATGAAAACCAGCATCAGTACACACACCCCATGATTCTAGAAATAATGCATACATTTGAAAGTACAAGATCTGAGAACTTTGACATTAAATTTTAAAGTGTATTTTTGTTGATAGGCAGATTTTAAATGACTTTCATGACAGTAGCATCAATTAAAGATCGAATGATCGGTAAAAGTCTAATACAAAACTAATTTTAAAACTCATCTATTTGCGGTCTATTATGACACCCAGACTGTGTAGCGCCTTGAACATGCATACTAGCATGTAACTGTACGCGAAATAAATATACATATTATTATTATTAAAATATATAATATGCCGACATTCTTCAAAAAAGGGACAACCACTTTATCAGGACGGTCAGTTTCCAATTATCGGGAATTTTAAAAAGTTGTCTAAAAATAATTATAAGTATTGCACGCGGTATAATAAAGTTTTATAGTGTTTATGTAATTCGGCGATCGGAAATATATTCTTACTTTTCACATCTAAAACACCACTGTACAAATCTTTCGCAGAGTAATGTCCACTGTCAGCAGTTAATGTCTAAAATACAAAATAATATAAATCCAAATGTTCATCATGTTTATATATACAGAGTATGACACTTAAACACACATTATGACGTCACATTAATAATGATGTCATTGTAATAATCATATTAAACATACATTATGCAAGAGCTAAATCTGCCTATTGCAGGTCTTTCTTTAGGCCTGAAACGTGTTCTAAATTATTAATTAGAAATCAATTAATTTATCCAGGCCTTAATCAACTATCGAGGGCATCGGATTTCTGCGATATTAAATAGATTAGAACAGTTCAGCCATAGTTTGATTTAAGCTAAAAATGGAGAAGTGAGACTTAGCTTCGAACACGGAGGTTGACATTATTTGCACACGTCTTGTCAAACCTTCAAAGGCTAATATTATGTTCCCTCGCAATAGAGTAATTTGAATGAACTGTTATAGCAAGAATGACTAGCTCTTTATCTAAATCTTACATAATGTATCTTTAAACGACATTCGGGTTATTTTGTAGTCTTATATTAATTGGGGAGAAGATATTTCTGTATAGTATAAAGTTAGCTTTCAGGCTATTTTATCTGCTGTTGTGTCTCATACTATGTACATTTAATCGTCAAACACGTAATTATCTAATGTAATAATATTTAAAATACAAAATTCTATTAGTCTTTTATATCAATCATAATAATGATCGAGGCTATAGACCTAAAATTCAAACGCTTATATCTCGGTTCAGACTAGATCAATTTGACTGTGAAATTTTCAGCAAATTCCCTTTACATTATCTAGTCTTTTAACTATAATAGTGAGAACTGTCAGCTCTTTATCTAATCCTCGATAATGCCCCTTTAAGCATATTATGCGAGGCTTTAAATTGATACGATGATTTATTAAATCCACACCGATATGTCATACTCGAATTGTAATTGACTACAATAAGATTCAACGTCTAGGTGACACCCATTTTCGTTACCCCGTTATCTCCGATGGAGTAATTTAATAATAAAAGTTTAAAAAAAAATTAACGAAAAGAATTGAGGGTTTGATACAATTTGTCTGATTTGCCAGAATCGTGTTGGATCGTTGGGTGTGAATAAACGAAATAAAACATAATGACTTATTACTTCCTTGTCGTCCTGTCATCCAGCATACAAGTAATTATATTCTCTTGTTGCCGTGTCAGTAAGCATACAATTAAATATGATATACTACCTTGTTATCGTGTCAGCCAGGTGAAAGTAAATTATAATTTACTACCTTATCAGCGTGTTAGCCAGCGTATAGTCGAGTAATCTATTCTATTTAATAACTTCTCAAGTACCCGAGTCTTTTGTTAAAACTTACCGGTTTGATGTAAAGATGTCCATTTTTAACATAGAGATTTCTCTGATCGTTTGTGTAAACTTGAAATTCAGTATGCTGAAAAAAACAATATACATAAATAGCTAGGAACACTCAAGAATTAATTACGGATTAGAGAACAGGGGGGGGGGGTGGGGGGTATCAGTAAATTGATTATAATGGAGAATGATTATGACCAACATGACGGCATGGCAAGTTACCGTGTTAACGCATTATATTATTCTCTGCGACAACTATATACAGCATTTTATTCATTACCTTGTATTAGTTTTATTTTCTAGACACCTCAATATGCATACCTTATGTAAGAGATAAATCTACCTATTGCATGTCTTTATATTGGCTTCAAATGTTATATAAATTATTAATATGGACATTTAATAACATGGCAAGCGTTTAATCAACTCTCTAGACCACCTGATGGCCGAGATTTAAATGGTTTAGAACATACGTGAGATTTAACCTTTTAACGATAACATCGCTGAGAATAAAGTAATTTGAAATATATTCAATTTTCAATATCTATTCTAGAACACTTATAACACGAACAGTCAGCTCTTTATCTAAATCTTACATAAGAACCTTTAGCACCATGTAACCTATAGCAGTGATAAAAGGAATTTCCTAGCCCGTTTGATATAAAGTCACTGCATTGAAGGTAAGAGGCGTAATGTAAATTTATTTCATTCGCGACGACAAACTCGTCACAATTTCAAAAAGTGTAGAATATTAATTTGTGTAACATCTATGAAATGAAATGGGGTTTAACTTCATACTGTTTTGCTCCGAACTAGGCTAATGAAGACGGGCATACGCCATACAGTGTGCTATGAGGGAAATTTTGCCCGGGCAGCGGCGCTACGGCCTACTCTTATATCGAATTCCAACTGCCAAGAGATCTTTTACGTGCACGCCAATGTGTACACGGGGCCTCGGATTTTCGTACCATCCGAAAGACTAGACAGCTGTCCTTGTCAGCCCCTCCGTCCTGCATCACTAATAAGGGGGAACCACGCTGGAAAATCTGGATGAACTTTGTGTATAAATACACAAACTGATAATCTAACAGAAATGATATATCTATTTTGTTTCGTAGCATATATTTAGACGTAGGCCTTACTATAAATAAAGGTTCATTATGTTTATTTACAAAACGGTGGGAGGAGGACTGAAGTGATTCCTTGGATGTTTATAGCACACAACAAAGAACTTGAAACAATAATAAAACATTGCTGCTGGTGAAATCTAAAATACGAAATATAACACGAAAGAAAACGAAAAACGATTGTAAAACATCTGTGAATTCTGTGCATATTACAGAATTTAAAAAAAAAACCTAGAACGTTGACATATCTATAACGGGCTCGGCTTGAATATCACGATATGAATTAAAGATACATTCCTGTGTACAAACTCGGTGATTTGATGATGTATTTGAACTAAAAACATATTCAAACTAAGTAATCTATCAAAATTTTGCTTCAAATCCTTCTCAAAACACTGTTTACTTAAGGAATACCCCCCGCTATAAAAATATATATTAAAAGAGGCCACGTTTGTGTCACGTGACTTCGATGATGAACTACCTAGCAACGGGTGCAAAGTCGGAGGAGAATTCATTGCATATACAAGACGATGTTGTCTTTAATCGCTATCCATTTATCATAAATATCGAAGCCTAATTAAATTCTCGGATTATCCACTGCCCAAGTTTTTTTCCGTGGTTTTTAACTCAGAAACTGTTGTACGTCTAACTCTTCATAAAGTTTATCAACATGTACATCACGCGCTCAATCTCCGCGTTCGTGCAACCTTTGACGTCACGCGAGCAGACATTCCTAATCGTCGTCCTGCCGATTAGGGAAATCCTTACATGTTTGTCCTGTATGCGCTCCATGAGTGTTTTTCAGGGAATCCAGTATTTTTCTAGTAAGTAAGATTGGATATTTCTACTTTCCATATATACCAAAATTGCCACACTTTTATTGGAAATAACCACCAGATAAATGCTTTCCTGGGAACGTATCTTTAATGTATTTAAAAAGCGAAAGTAGTTTATATTTACCCATTCGCCGGCGGCTGTTACTTGAACAAACCAATTATTCAAATCTAACTTATTACCATTAAAATCATCTCTAAAAGAAACGGCACCACGCATTCGTCTTGGTGGAAGTGTTGCCAAGGGAGCTGATTGAAAAATAAAGAATACAATATATATTGGTATACTACGTGAAGAAAATAACGAGATCCAGAAATTGTGATCTTAATAATAATAATAATAATAATAATAATAATGTAGTTATATAGCCTTATCTTTAAAGTTACAATTTCATATTTTTAAGTTATATTTTTAAAATGTATTAAAATAGGCCTACAGCCCTAAAATAGATGGTATCTATAAACAGTCCTAGCTACCTTGTTAAAGAATAATCCTATTATTCCGGTAATTCACTATTGCCAGTTGAGAAATTGGCAAAAATATCATTTTCAACTTCAAATTCAAACGTTTGAAGATAGCTATTCCATGGTGGGGAATAGGAAAACAAGGGAGGTAATTGTGTTATTATTTCCGGTGTGAAGATTTTTAAGTGTGAGAAAGATAACCTATGATCGTATAAATAGTGAATTGACAACCTATTGAGCAAAAGACAGAGACATAATTATGTTTGACTTTCTTAGAAAATATGAAATTGTAACTTTAAGTGGGATTTAGCGATTGGGAAACAATCATTGGTTTTATTCTAAAAGCACGACGTTTCAACAAGTATCCTCTTATCATTATCGACTAATATCCTATTATCTTGTTTTGTTGGTTTTTTTTGTTTAATCTTTTACTTCTTATTGTTATTGTTACTTAAACTCTGTAAATGGCTTCATCATGCAACTCAAGTTTACTAAATGTTATTGATAACGATAAGAGGATACTTGTCGAAACGTCGTGCCATCAGAATAAAACCAGTGATTGTTTCCTATAGAAGCATTAAAGTAACACTGCCACCTTTTAAAATATATAACATAAACGAAATTTGTCAAAATCTCTCTCTCTCTCTCTCTCTCTCTCTCTCTCTCTCTCTCTTCATTAGTTGAATTAATCTTGTGATACCTTAGATTGGCATTATGCTATTCACGTCTGATGATGAACACAATCTGATTAAATATTGAATCACAAACACCTGCAATCGCCCACTATTCTATTTCTGAGGGGTAGACCAATATATACATCAGGTGTTATTGGTTTATATCTCCCATTAAAAATAGATTACCATGGATAAAAAACATATAGGTAAACGACTGACAATACAGGACTAGTTAATGGTCATGAATTTAAAAATACCGAAAATCGTGTGTGCAATATCAAGTAACATCAACCATTGTCCGCCATTCCTTTCGACCTTTAGATGCTATTCTATTGGTATAATAACTGGACGTGAGGTACGTGGTTGTGGTATATTACATAATAATACATATGTAGTATTACATAATAATAGTTAAATACATGTATATTGTATTTACTTATATTGTATATTGTTTACTTATAAGCAATTTATATTTCACAGTTGGAATACGCTATTAGAAGTTTTAACCGTAAACAGTTGGTTCCAGTTTGTACCTCATCCTATGGGGTCGAAACATTGGCCTGCGTCCTTGCAAGCTCAGTCTCTTTTCGGCTCTCATACTCTTACAATCATAGCTGTTTGTTTATGGCACGGAGATTGATTCTGTATGTCGAATAAAAAACTAGACAACTTGCTGGTATTATGACTTGTAAGCGACAGAATTTGATAAGAATGGACAGTTGTTATAGAGCGTGAATCTCTTACTGTAATCAGTGTACAAAAATGATGATGTAAATGTGGTGAAATAGCGCGTAGGTGTAAAGCCGAGCTGTTAAGTGGGGTGGGGCATACATGTACCAAACGTGCGTATTGGCTGGTTAGCAGTAGCCTATTGTAAAATAGTTGTTCCAATGTAGGCTCCTCTCTAGACCATGTAAACTAATATAAGTTTCCCGATATGTTCCAAGGACGACAGCCAAACTTAAACACGATTTTATGGCCAAATATGTAAATCTTTACTTACCAAAATTCCATTCTTGACTTGGACTTTCCACTAAATCACCAATTCCGAATTGTACATACGTATAAAACTGTACTTTCTTTACAGATTTCAGGTTGGGGTCGGTAAAACGCCATGTATCATCTGTAAGTTCAACGTTATGTCTTTACACAATATAACTTCTTAAATATACTCACGATGCATTTAATCATTTTCGAAACATATATACACTCATGACAAATTTAATCATTTTCGAAATATATACTCACGAAAATTTAAGCATTTTCGAAATATATACTCACGATACATTTAATCATTTTCGAAATATATACTCACGATACATTTAAGCATTTTCGAAATATATACTCACAATATATTTAATCATTTTCGAAATATATACTCACGATACATTTTATCATTTTCGAAATATATACTCACGATACATTTTATCATTTTCGAAATATATACTCACGATTCATTTGTATTTACGATACATTGTTTTATTTTTGAAACATGCCCCGACTATACATTTAAATATATTTTATTTCGATTCACGGGGACCTCCTGATTAGTGAGCCAGCGTCTGAGTGACTGGGTCACCATGGCTACCGTGATAATGGATAATTTAATTTAATGGATAATTTACACAGCAGGTAGGACACTTACACATCTAGTACTTAGAATAAGGCTATTTTTTATTTTCTGGAGCTGTCAAGCCAGCAAGAGTGTAATTGTCCCTTTAAACAAACAAACCCGCATGTCATTCTTACCAGATTTAACAGCATAAAATAATAATAATAAATGTTTACATGTTATTCTTACCAGATTTAATCAAGTATATAATAATAAATTCTTACCAGATTTAATAGCAACACCAATATGTTCATCTTTATCGTCATTTATTTTATAAATAAAACCAACTTGTTGAATACCAGGGGAATCTAAAAAGATAATAAAATATATCAATGTATTGAAGCATTCTAATTTAAAAAATTTTCAAAAGATTATACGACCCTCAATTTGTGGGGAGGGGGGGTTGGATGGCTGAATGGTTAGCACGTGCGCGCTGTATCATAAAGTCTGTCATTGGGTCAACTGTCGGGGTTTCGATTCCCCGGATGTACGTGACAAGGAGTAGGGTCGCCTGTCCAACCTATCACTGCTAAAGACCCCTTGGCTCAAGCGAATTATGTGAATAAAATTGAACCACATGTTAGTCCCGAAATGACCTAGTTTGTGTCGAGTGGATGTTAAACCCCATTTCTCTCTCTCTCTCCCTCAATTTGTCAAACCTACCAAGAACAGAAAATAGTACTGTACAATGGATGGATGCATGATCTTGACAGAGTTCATCTGGCTTATTCCTGTTCTTAAAACCGTTTCATCTGCGAACAAATGCATGGGAAAATAACAACATGGCTGCCATTACAGATCAGACAAGTTTGGTATTTAGATTGAAATAAAATCCGTTTAAATCTCTTATCACTAGTAGGATCTTCTAGCCCAATTTATATTTTATAGCGAGGTCGCGATGTCTGAATCTTATCATTCGAACAAAAATTATCTTCAAGGTTAGTTGAAGAAATGACCTGATAAATAAAACGACTGCATGGTTTCGATGACATATCTGACCTGTATATAGTGAGCTGTAAAGTGGCAAAGGGTTAATATGTGGGCATTTAAAACCTTTAATCCAAAATATCTTATTGATTTTAACTATCAGGGAGTAAAAATGTTTCTATTCGAAACAGCCAGTTAAATTCTACATGTGAAATCAGTTTCCCCCGTTGGTAATTGTTAAATCCAAGAGATCACACTGCACAACGTCTTGGTCTTGAAGCGAGTTCTCATGCTACTCAGATCCTTCCCCAGGAAGAAATTACAACTAAACATAACATGTAACAGATAATAGACCAACATCATAATGATAGGAACTTTATTATAAGGATGAACGAGACATAAGTAGCAAGGAACTCTATTCCAAATGTGTTTTACTGCCAGTAAACTCGTGGTTATATAGTATCCAACAATTAGGGATGCGAACTTCTTATAAGGATATTGAGTCTAACAACACAAAGTCATCATCATAATTATATTGATCAGGATTAAGAAATCACCTGTCGACACGTAGTAATACGTGTGTAAAGACCGATGATTGCTTCCGTATAAATTGTGCTTCGAGTTGGTTCCAATACCATATTGTTGGGGTAATGGATCCATAGTGAAAGTAAAAGTAAGATTTGTTAAAGTCTCTATAACAAAGACTCGACAGGTGCGGAAATATTGAATTCAAACATACCTGCACTAGTAAATACCCCACCGCTGGATTCCAAGGAAAACTTTGGCACCGGTACGGCACCAGACAAGCACACCACAGCTAGTAACGCTATCACCGTATACATGATTTCTGCTAGAAGTGACTTAAGCAGAGGGTTTTATATTGTATTTAAAGTAAGGCATCAGATAATATGAAGGTCGCGCTAAATGCAGGACAAACATCTACCGGTACACAAATAGTGCACATAACATCCAAATGTCAAAATATACGGCAATGATAATGCTTTTTACAATGACAAAATATATATACTGCTATGTCACCAATAGTGCACATAACATTCAAAATATCAAAATATACGGCAATGATAATGCTAATGACAAAAATATATATATACTGCTATGTCACGATGAATACAGATCTATTGGATGCATGCACCATGCATGAGGTAACAGTAAAGTTTGGTCGATCGTGAAGTCAAGGGTATGCAACTTGTTAGATTCAGCAGCCCATACTGCACACAGAGACTCACCTACTTCATACTTGGAGCAGAGCTAACTGTGGACAGATCGACTAAGTTTGGTATGTCATCACCCGTTTCTAGGAATGAAATGAAATGGGGTTTAACGTCCTACTGTTCTGGGTTAATGAAGACTGGCATACGCCATACAGTGTGCTGAGTGGATTTTCGATACTGTTGTATCGAATTCCAACTGTCAAGGAGTCTTTTACGTGCATAATACACGGGACCTCGGTTTTTTGTCCCACCCGAACGACTAGGCAGCTGTCCTTCGCCCTGCATCACTGCATGTCAATGTATACACGGGATCTCGGTTTACCGTCCCATCCGAACGATTAGGTAGCTGTCCTTATCAGGATCTTCGTCCGGCGCCACTGGCAAGGGGAAGCCCCGTTTCAATAAGGAGTCTCACGGTGTAAAGAGGTGTATCATGAGCGAGGCAGGATATACTTCCTCTTTCTGGACCTCATGGTTCTGGTTTGTGCCACCTTGAAATATTACGTACTGTATTGACAGATCAGTCATGTCAAGTTACGCGATGTGCTGCAAATTATGAACGTGTCCCTTTGATTACTGGAAGGGAATATATTGCTGAGCTAACTGATTACGGTTAGGATATCCAATTCAATGGAACCAATTTTTTCAAAAAAAAGAGCTCTTTTCCCAAGCCTACAAAGAGATTTGAACACGATAGATTGGCATCTGTTCAATGGGATGCCTGGCTGTCTCCTGAACCATTTGAAAGGATACTGACATAGCCTGGGTCAGATTCCCGTCGATGGTATCTTTATAAAGAATAAGTATTCTTTCAATCCAATAGAATTCAGATTTCTGTGGGTCTAACTAGAATTTGGGGGTTACATGGCCATATTTGAATACTAGTATACGATACAGGAAGACAAGATCTATTTACATAGGAAGAATAAAACCACCACCTGTATCATTCGAATGAAAACTATCAAGCGAAATTGCCAGATAGAACAGACATTTGCCGAAGGGCGTGCGCGTTGTATCATAAGGTCTGTCTTTGATTCAACTGACGTGGTTTCGATTCCCCGTTGTACGTGACAAGGTTAGGACCGCCTGCCCAACCTCGTGGGTTCTCTCTGGGTCCCCCGGTTTCCTCCCACTGCTAAAGACCCCTACGCGCGAGCGAGTTATTGCAATGAAATTGAACCATATGTTAGTCCCGAAATGACCTAGTTTGTGACAAGTGGACGTTACACCTCCCTCTCCCTCGGCGAGAAGCATTAAATCTTAAACGGTGTTGATCTTATGTGATATTGGGGATCACGTGGCTAAGTGGGTAAGACGCTAGCTCGCTAGCCTGGAGGTCGGGTGTTCGATCCCTGCATTGGCCGAGAAAGTTCATCCAGATTTTCCGGCGTGGTTCTCCCTTGTCAGTGATGCAGGACGGAGGGGCTGACAAGGAAAGCTGTCTAATCGTTCGGATGGGACGAAAAACCGAGGTCCCGTATACACATTGGCGTGCACGTAAAAGATCCCTTGGCAGTTAGAATTCGATATAAGAGTAGGCCGTAGTGCCGCTGTCCGGGCAAAATTTCCCTCATAGCACACTGTATGGCGTATGCCCGTCTTCATTAGCCCAGGTTAGGAGCAGAACAGTAGGACGTTAAACTCCATTTCATTTCATTTATGTGATATTTTGATGGGATAAAATGTACAGTTTTCGTTTCGAAATATTAAGCAGGCCTCGGGTTGTTTATTAATTTTAGTTTTGATTTTACCTCAGATTGGAGACAACTGTGGATTTAACAAAATTCATCAAGCAAATCAATATATCAATCTTAATCTAGTCGATACTTTACCAAAATTAACCAGGTCCAGTTAGAATGACACGAATAAATAGACCCATACTACAAGGTTATGAATATGCAGGAAAACGACATCTGCAGAAGGGAGATTAGCAGTTTATTCATCTATAATTACATGGCAAATATACCAGTTAACTGTCTATCATTTTTATTGTAAAGAAACGCTTAGTAATTGTCGACGATACTCGCTCAATCATTCTGACTGTATAAATATTTCTACCAAATTTAATCTCAAAAAGACAGGCGAAGAAATATTCAAGGTTTCCCTCAATAATCTTATCTTTTGAGATTATGAAGAATCATTTGAATATTTGTTATATTGACTTTTGATCATTATGTTTATGATAAGCTTGAAAACTTATAAATAGTCCGTACATTCCCTTGTTTTTATTCATTCTATACTTAATAAAAACATGGTAATGCACGGACTTTTTAGATTTGTTTCGTTTTCTCTTGTCTAGTGACAGTCAATTATTTTTATAAATTGACACATTGCCAGATATCCTCTCACAGTCTCATATAACAGCTTTTATCACTCGTTACTTCAGTCAGTTATAAAGAATGATAACTCGTGTTTTCCTTTTGCTTTCGTCACTTCCGTTTTTTCAGATCTTCATTACGCATCTATCATAGCAATGAAGCCTGTGTTAAAATTATATTTGAAATGTGTTTAACCAGTTCTATCACATATGTGATAATGACTGACACCAATATTGTCCTTTAAGGGATATTGGACATGTTTAACCAGTTCTATCATATATGTGATAATGACTGACACCAATATTGTCCTTTAAAACTCCAAACGTAATCATTTACGTAATCTTGTTGCTAAACAATCGAACAATTCTTGATTTTCACATGTCGTGAAGTCGGGTGTAAACAGAGAGTCCGGGGTAAAAAAGCCATTTCGACCAGAATATCTCGGTCGGGGTCTTCATCCCCGCAAATTTAAAAACAATCCGTTAAAGCAAGTCTGATCTGAAAGTATTTACAAGGTATTGTAGACGTCAGAGCAGTGACGACCATCCTCCCCATGTATACCAGAACATACCCCTAGTCAGTACCGGCTTGAAATGTAAAATGGGACAAATACCACCCCCACCCCTCTCCCCTTCACACATTTGGTGACCCCACACATTTTGGGTTGGATACAAGATCCAAAGTTCCATTGGTTGACCGAAAGATTCTAATTTAGATTTTGTAATACGAAGGTCATTCTCTGGACCCTCATTTGGCCCAAAAAGAACTTAGTGGGTAATTTGGCTCCTTTTAGTAGACATCTTTGTCGTCAGTTCGTCAGGAAATGTGAGATCATTCACACAGTAGTGACTGTTGTCTTTAAAAAGGACTGGCTGGGATTCGTATTTTGATTGAAGCTTCATCTCAAGTTTATATACAAAAAAATGTTCAATTTTATTTAACTTATGTTACTGGTCTAGAAATAAAACTAAACCATATATTATTATGTTAGTCCCGAAATGACCTAGTTCGTGTCGAGTGGACCATCTCTCTCTCTCTCTCCCTCTCTCTCTCTCACACACACACACACACACACACACATTCATTTGATTCTAGTTCACAATATGAAGACATATCCAAACTTTCCCCTGCACGCCATTCCCCCACCTATATCACAACTGGTGTCCATAGCCAACGTGAATGTTTTTAGCAAAACTGTAGAACTTGCATAGAAGGTTAATGGCGTATATGTTCGAGATGGCGGGATTAAATTAGATAAGGCCCTTTATATTGTGAATGAACAAAAGAAACAAATAATTTAACAGTGAATCTGATCTTCACACTACGTAATACTATCTGGGGATTTCCGAGGCCGATGTTCACGTGTATTTCGGGGCTGACCAGAAATATGTGTCTGGTTGTTGGGATGTGAAATATAACGGAGATCCACACGTGTACATGTTTCTAGAAAAATAGAATTGCCATCAGTAATCCCAGAATTGTCCAGACGTAAAAAGAGAGAGAGAGAGAAGGAGAGAGAGAGAGAGAGAGAGAGAGAGAGAGAGAGCGAGAGATGGGGTTTACCTTTTAGTGTATCGATTAATCTGAGAAATGTAAACGCCGTAAGCTCGTGATTTTATTTCAACAATTCGCTTGTGCGTAGGGGTCTTTAGTTGTGGGGGGAAACTGGAGGACCCGGAGAAACTCTCGAGGTTAGACCGGCAACCCTACTCCTTGTCACGTACGTCCAGTACAAGCTAAGTAGACCCGACTTCAGGAAACTATGGGTGGGGTTACTCTGACTCAGCCGATGCTTGATAAGGAATAGATAATCCTGGTCGAAACATCGTAATGTTAGGTTCCCCACTATCATGATTCGTAGAGTTGCTATATAACCTGCTTCTGGATGGCGCGAGGGATTAGCCAATGCAGCCATACACGGAACTGTGGGTAAACCACTAGAAAGGTCAACGGTGATTGATTAATCAATGCTCACACGACCTTCTACTACAACTGGTCAGACCTTCGTGTAGTACAGGCCATCGAAAGTATAAAAAACCCAACGAAATATAAATCTGTATTTTAATCAGATTGGGTTTGAAGAGTCTGTGTTTACAACATTGGTTGTTAAATATTTGCTACTTTACATTCGTCACATGCATTCAGGTTCTAGTAAACCACATAAATGACCGTCTAATAAAACGAAGAGAAGTAAATTCAATTGTGAAAAACAACTTTATTAATCAAATTCTACAGGTGCCTCATTTCCACATAATCCACAATCATGGCAACATCGTCACCGTGCCAGGTCGGTAACCAATTGTGTCTACCCGCCCAGAAATTCTTCGCTGGATCGGTATCATTATTACTCCACGGTTTAGGGTAAGCGTAGTGTGTATTATCTCCAAACATGGTATACGTACCACCAACAGCAACGTTTAAAATCAAATAAAACTGAAAATAGATCGAAATTATGAATTGTGAGGGTTTGGGGAAAAAACAAAATAGCGACCAATATAGATAAAACACAGGTTTTCTGGGCATTTTCACTATTATCTATGATAAGGGGAACTAGTTCGGAATCAACAAGAAGGAACCATAACAAATCGGCAGGGAGTGGGAGAGAGGGGATAGTTGGGCTATCGATACAATAAATGATAAACGGAGAATAATGTTTTCTACACATATTCCCCAATATAGCAATGTTCAAAGTATTTTTGTGATACCTAAAAAAGGGACTCTTTACTGATGATTTCGCGGTATAACATGTATTAATACTAAATGTCAATCTGATTACAACACAGATCCTTTTTCGTTTCGTTTTATATAATTTAAAATTTTGTTTTACTTGTCTTGACTACACTAGGATCTGGAAGAGTTGTTATATAACCCGCGTTCTGATTGATGTGAGGGATTAGCCATTGAAACGTTCTGCTACGGGGAGTTTTTGTCATGAGTTGCAACTGTGGGTAATCCAATAGAAACATCAACGCTGATTGGTTTATCAATGTCTGACGTCATAGGATCAAAAGTTACTCGTATAACATCTGACGCCACCTTCCACAACACCCGTTCAGATCTTCATGTAGTAGAGGCCACCGAAAGTAGAAAAAAAACGAAACGAAATGTAGATCTGTATTTTGTTAAGATTGTACTAAACGTCAACCATCGTGTTCGTGTTAACAGACATCAAAGAGGGTGGTTCGATGGTCAAATAGTTAGCGCGTGCGTGCTGTATCATTGAGTCAACTAGTGTGGTTTCGAATCCCCGGTTGAACGTGACAAGGAGTAGGGTCGCCTGTCCAACCTACGCGCAAGCGAATTATTGAAATGTAATTGAACCATATGTTAATCCCGAAGTGGACGTTACCCCCTCTCTCTCTCTCTCTCTCTCTCTCTCTCTCTCTCTCTCTCTCTCTCTCTCTCTCTCCCCCCCTCTCTCTCTCTCTCTCTAAAAGATTACCTCTTGATCAAATGGTGCTATCTTGGTGCCGTGTTTCCATGGATTTGTACCATGTAGTTTATAGTGATCCCATACAGTAGAACCATCTGGTATATCCATTCTAGTAATGACCTGATCATCAATACTCATGCTGTAAAATAAAACAAAACTAAATGAAGTAGATTCACACAAGTAATTTGGAGACACGAGAGTTGAAAGTTCAAATTTTATTGTTTGTCATCTGGGAGAGAAATCCACCAATCCATTATATCCATCAGACCGGGGAGGCGTCCTTACTGCGTAGCTACGGCGACGAAAAATGGTTTCAAAGCGCGTCAAGATCGCCATAAACGTAGTAAAAGCGTGGGTGGTGGAAACGCCAGATATTGTATTGTGGTCTCCATGGTCGCCAATGATCGCTTGTTTTAAGCATCTTCAAAACAAACGCCAAGGTTCTGCGATTTGACCGGGAAAGCTGTGAGAACGCGACTTTTTTCAAGTTTGTAATCTTTTGGGACATTTTCTCGCGTTGTGTGCATTTTCTGGTCGGCGCACGGTCGCTGTAGTGTCGTAAGGACACCACCCGGCCTTACGGGGGCATTACTGAGATACAAACTCTTTTAAGATTTGAATCCTGCATATTGTTTGTAATTGCTTTCCCGAACGGCCCTGCAAATTACGTAAATTAGTGCTTGAATTGTCTATAATTATTTTGAACATGTTATTTCTCAAATTTAATTACAATTCATTGGTAATGATAGTGACAACGTTATTTAATCTCTATGGCCTTAAATAATCTCAGACTGAACTGAATTTCAGAAAATAATTATTAAAAACATTACATGACATGATCAGGTGTCCAATATAATTTATAGTCGTGAAAATCATGCCAATCCCCTTTAGATTTAAATCTGAAATAATACAATTTTAACATATTATATTGAAATTATATTCTTCTTTTTATAATAGAATATGTAGCTAATATATTCAGTGGTTTAGAAATACTAGTAACTTTGGGTTATCGTTTAAGTTTCTGAGAGAGAGAGAGAGAGAGAGAGAGAGAGAGATTTTGACAAATTTCGTTTATGTTATATATTCCAAAAGGTGGCCGTGTTACTTTCATGCTTCTATAGAAAGATTCTGTTTTAATATATTACTCAGAGTAGCATTACATCATTCTTTACCCAATCAAAATTGTGCATCTATTAATGTGTACTTCCAGCCAATCAGCTTTACTTTAATAAAAGAGGAGAGAAGAGAGAGGGAGAGAATGAGGTTTAAAGTCCACTCGACACAAACTAGGTCATTTCGGGACTAACATATATGGTCATTTCAATAATCATCTTATAGACACATTGATAAAGATACTATATAGCGTCGGTATGGAAACGTTTTTATCAATGAAATGTATCTCGGGTTGGAGCGCGTGCAAGTTGTATCATAAGGTCTGTCATTGTGTCAACTGGAGTGTTGTCGATTCCCAGGTTGTACGTGACAAGGAGTAGGATCGCCTGGGTTTTCTCCGGGTCTTCCCACTGCTGAAATAAGGAAAGAATACGGGAAATATACCACTGTGCCTGCGTTTTGAATATAAATACGTTTATCCAGACAGAAAGTAATTGCTAGTCCACTGATAACTCTACCGGACATCTAGATCTTGGTATTTCTTTGAGAACGTAATAAAAGGTTTGATAGTTGCATGGTACTAGCGGAAATAAGGATTGTTTCCATCAACTACATTAGCTACCCACTTTTGCGGTTACCCTAAATATATAGAGTAATCACTTGCGCCCAGGAGCCACTGTGACTAAGTGGATAAGACGCTGGCTCGCTAGCTTGGAGGTCGCGTGTTTGGCTATCGATACAATAAAGATGACAAAGAGAGAATATGTTTTCTACACAACGGAGCCACGGTTACTAAGTTCATTGGGATTTTCGACGTGGTTTCCCCTTGTCAGTGGTGCAGGACGAAGGGCCTGATAAGGATAGCTGTCTAGTCGTTCTGATTGTACGAAAAACCGAAGTCGGTGTATACATTGGCGTGCACGTAAAAGATCCCTTGGCAGTTGGAATTCGATATAAGAGTAGGTCATAGTGCCGCAGCCCGGGCCCAATTATCATCATAGCACACTTTATGGCGTATGCCCGTCTTCATTAGCCCAGTCGGAGCACGACAGTAGGACGTTAAACCCCATTTCATTTAATTTGAATTTTCATTGATTCAAGAATACACCTTTGTCTTCATTAACCCAGTCAGGGCAGAACAGTAGGACGATAAACTTTCATTTCACTTACGCCCAGTCGTAAACCTGGTGATCATGGGCGTGGTCTGTGCCCAGGTGAAGAGTGGACTGAACTCTCTGTATTCCAACTTTCTGACCATTATCCCATACAGCATGTTCATTACCTATTTTAAAAAACAGAGGTTATCACACACCAAAACGTTTTCCCATTAGTTAAAAAAAAACGTACAGCTTAGGTCGGGATAACAATACTTTGCAAGGTACAGACTCTCAATGAAACAAATTAGAAGCCAATTCAAACATAGTGATGATTGGAATGTAATTCTAAATTACATCACTTCTGGTGACAATATGAAAATCGAAGAATAATTGATCCTTTTATAGCCAAATCAAATTAAAAGGAAACGTACGGGAAATTGGCTATTTTTTAGAAAATGATTTTGGTATCTATTTCTCGGCACATCGGACACAAATTTATAAAATCCAAAACTATTTTTAAGCAGAATATTGTGATTAAAAAGCGTGGTGTCGTAATGGCGGACCAGTTCAAACATATTTTGTTGATGTTTTTAAATCGCAAAATTCTACTTAAAGATAGTGTTGGATTATTACAAATGATTCCTTGTGGCAAATAAAGAAGAATTACGGTGAAGAAATAGAAGTTAAGGACCCCAAAATACTCGGTAGTACTATCGGACTTCCTTGTTATGTTTGTTTTCTTCGTGATCGTAATATATAACACTAAAGGTTAAATGGTTCCTACAATTTTATTGTTAAGCTGGAATGGCTTCGAAGGTCCCTCGTTCTCAATAAATAATTGCTGCTCGGAATACCTGGGTGAGGTCTGACCAGTCTCGCTCAACACCCTCTCTTTATAACCCCCTAATTTCAATAATTTCCATCCCAAATATGGCATAAACCTCCCCATTTCCCAAGTCCATGGGGGAGAACATTACCTTATTTGGTCTACCAACCATAGGTCAATAAACAATTTGATGGCTATTTTGACAATGGTTAGGATTTTACCAAAATATCACTGTTTTTTTATATATAAATATATCATTCACATTCATTAAGTACGTGTGATTTGACTCTATAGAAAGAGAGAAGCAACAATTTTTCAAAGACCCAATATTGTCTTAAGGACCAAAGAACTGAATGGTATTTTCATATGGCAGCTTAATAGGAACGGACAGGACCGGTCAGAGGATTCATCCGTAAGAAACTGTTCCAAAAGGAACTAATCAAACTGTTACTCATACATTTTTCAACATATGAGAACGCCCAATTTGTATTTATATATAGATAGGGGAAGGTCGTTTATTGTTTAGTCTGTTTCAACTATTGTAGTTCTTTTACACTGGTCTGCAATGGACAAAATCTGTGTGGTCGCTGTGTGCACAATGCATGTGCATTTACCTGGTTTTAGTTTAATCATCCTAGCGAGGTGTGTTAATAACAAGGTGATTAAAAGTATGAACCATCCATAAATAAAAACCTTGGTGACTGACCCCTTTTAGTTCCAAAAATGATCAAATATAGTATCCAGAAATCAAACTAACATGTCCGTAACCACATGTCCACAGAAAAGTTGAAAGTTGAAAAAGAATTGCTGACCAATAGAGTGCCAAAATAAGCGACCCGGTCTTAAAAACTGTACTGTACTTGATTTTGGTCTAAAGTCAGGCCCCGAGTTCACAAAGCATTCTCAGACTTAAGTTGAGAATTTGGTCAACTTTCAATCACTGGTTTATGAGAAATATCTTTGATCCAGAAACACAAAACTTTGCACATATTTTCTTATTGATGTATCTGATAGATTCAAACAACAAAATTGACTATATTTTAGTTAAAATAAGGTGAACAAGTTTGAGTAAATTCTCAACTTAAGTCTGAGAATGTTTTGTGACCTCTGGGTCAGGTCTTTATATGGAGTGTTCAGTAAATGAATATTGTAATTGGTCGACTCCAGGGTAAAATAAGGTATTATTATGCTATGTCAAAAGGCCAATAAAGCACCTTCCTTAAACGCGGCTATGTCCAAAGGCCAATAAAGTACCTTCCCTAAACGTGGCTTTGAATGCGACCGACGTCTACTTTTGATTAAATTACAACAAGGAGAATTTGAAATTAAACTTTGGAAAAGCAGTATAAGGTCGTTAACAGCACTCCATCTCCGAGTTATGTAAAAATAAAAGTTTATTAAGTCGACAATAACAATACCCACACGCTGCTTCCATCATATCTATTTCACCAGATTTAGGCCAAGGACCATAGATGCTGTGCTTTGGCATCAGCCATATCGCTACAATTAAGATTACGAATATTAAAAATATGAAAAATTTTAACACTAAAGTGGATCTAAAAAGAGAGAGGGAGAGAAATGGGGTTTAACGTCCACTCGACACAAACTAGGTCATTTCGGGACTAACATATGGTTTAATTTTATTTCAATAATTCGCTTGCGCGTAGGGGTCTTTAGCAGTGGGAGGAAACCGGAGGACCCGGAGAAAACCCACGAGGTTGGACAGGCGACCCTACTCCTTGTCACGTACAACCGGGGATTCGAAACCACGCCAGTCGACTCAATGACAGTCTTTATGATACAGCGCGCGCACGCTAACCATTCAGCCATCCAACCCCCCGGATCTAAAAAGATAAGTTAGTATGGATAAATCTGTATGTTTACAAAGTGTCCTTTCTACGTGTGTGTAGAAAATCGACTATTCACAATTCTAAATCTACATTTTAATTCTATGCTGAGTTTCTTAATGCCTAAGAGATTTAGCAACGACACTTTGTTTGCTTAATGATGCAATGCATCAACTGATGTCTGATATTTTCCCCAATGTAATTAAGATTTGATTACAATTTCGTGTCTTTAATTTTTACACTTCAACCTAGTGAGAAATAAACAACTCAAAATTCAAAAATACCCCACTTCATCAAATACATTTTCCACGATGTTGCTCTTATTATTGCAACTTCGATGACCTAGAAAGTTTTCAGAACAGAGGAGACGTTAGGGATGGACTACCTGCAATTCAATATTAAAGGACACTATTGGTGTCGGCCATTATTATATACCTGATCATTACTGACACCAATATTGTACTTTAACTCCCTACAGGCTTAAGGTCTGTAACGTTGCTCTTGACATTGCCATCCAGTGAACCCAAGAAGTTTTTCGGAATAGATGGGAAGTTAGGGTTGAGTTACTTGGATGGATGCAGACCACCATTAATTTCCCCTTTGATTTCAATGTTAATTCTGGCCTCTTTGCCCACCTCCATTTTTTACCCAAATTTTCGTTGGGCTGAATGCTTTTCACTACAGGCAGAGGAACAATGGTCATGTCTTTGCACTAAAATTTGTATGAGGTTGACCACCAAAATTTTGAGATACACAAACTTGAAGAAGCATACTAAAAACATGTAACTAGTTGCCGTACATATCACCGTAGCCAACCTGATAACCCCGTTATCCTTCCGCCTCAATATTTAACAAAACCTGGCAGAAAATGTTAATCAAAACCCTCTTGGTCCATTCTAGACCAAAAACTCAACCAAAAATGTGCATGCAAAAGGGTAGAAAAGAGACAGAGAGAGAATTACTATAAATAGACGAACTACAATTTGTGTACCGAGATGGTGAAATTTAATGGTGGTCTGCATCCAATTACATTTCAAGATTATCTCCCTTTAGGCCTAAGATATGTTTCGTGTCGATGTACCACAGTATGGATTTCCCTATTCAGAAGAGTTTTATTACATCTATCATAACGAATGAAAACTTTTACGCTGTTGTTTAGTACGATTGAACATAAATTTTAATTTTACCTGGCCATATCCAGTCACCTCTGGGTATCTGTGCACGAACGGTAATTTGACCATATTTTAACGTTGCTATAGAATCTATTCTAGCAGATAAAATAGGTAGCAGCAGACCATCTTTAGCATCTCTCAAACATCCTCGATTGGGAGCATAAGTACACGTACCCCAAGTTTCTATAAATAATGTATACAGTGATCAATCGGATTAAAATACAGATCTATATTTCGTTTCGTTTTTTTTTATACTTTCGACGGCCTACACTACATCAAGATCTGACCGGTTGTAGTGATTAACCAATCAGCTTTGATGTTTCTAGTGGCTTACCCACAGTTCCGTACATCGCACGCCAAGAACTAGGTTATTAATAAAGTGATGCATATTATATTTCTACGGAGCCCTTTAAGTGCAAAACTCCACGCTAATATAACTATTTCGTTATAAGCAAATACTATTAGTTTATAATGAAATGTTAATTCGTTTTAAAGTTTATCCTCTATTGCATTCATAGGGTTTTCGGAATGGCGGGGAGACTGAAAATTATATTGGTTTCATCCTCCGATGACACCAAAGAAAACGCATCCTCTATCGCGTTCTCGGGTTTTCGGAACATCACGGAGCGCTAAAAATCAATATGGTTCGTCCACTAATAACCCTTGCAATGCTTTGCACCATACTGTAGCCATACCATCCGGTTGCCAAATTAAAACAAAATACGCCTACATTTCCAGGTGATGGAATGAGATCAGTGAAAATACGTGGACAAAAGATGGTGATGGTAATATACTCGTATAAATATATTTATCAATAGAGATAATTAAGGTTGGATAATAACAACCAGCTGCTATTACATGCATACAGCTGCTGAACACTCTCGTCAATATGCAACTATATAATGTGTTTTACGATGAAAGTCTACCCCACGGCTGGCAATGCTAATGGGGTTAATTAAAGATGGAGATAATAAATCCATTCATGATCTCAATGCTTCACGCCAAATTTAAAAAGTTGAAGGTCGCCAATCGATGGGGTTTCTACATTCATGACCTGTGTTATCGCCCCCGCCCACCCACCCCTCCCCCATTCCAAAAGTTAAATTAATTCATTAAAACGAACACATATTTCCTTAAAACGAACACATATTTCGTTGAAACGAACACATATTTCGTTGAAACGAACACATATTTCGTTGTAACGAATTAATATTTCGTTGTAACGAATTAATATTTCGTTGTAACGAATTAATATTTCGTTATAACGAATTCATATTTCGTTATAACGAATTCATATTTCGTTATAACGAATTAATCATATAAAAGCGGAATCGTGCACTTAAAGGGGCATTATGAGAGATTAGATAAAGAGTTGACTGTTCTCGCTATAAGTTTAAAAAATAGATAACGTAAATAGAATATGTTGAAAAGTTCAGTCAAATTGAACCACTCTGAACCGAGATATTAGCTTTTGAATTTTAAGTCTAGCCTCGATTACCATTACTAAAGTCGGTAAGATAAAAAAAACAGGGTGTCGATTATCCTTTTTAGGATTTAATCATCAATGAGAGTTGATTATGGTCTGGATAGGTTAATCAATGTCTAATTATTAGTTTATATAACATTTCAGGCCTAACGAAAGACCTGCAATTGGCAGATTTAGCTCTTGCGTGATATTATGTTTAAGGACCTCCGTGTGGAACTGTGGCTATTAGAAATTCAAATACTTACTTTTGACATCCATAACACCATGGTATAAATCATGCTGAGTAAAATGACCACTATCAATTGTTAATGTCTGAAAAATATAAAATAATACACATTCATTATTTAACAATTTGACATAAATTGAAAGAGTGTTTAATGAAAATCAGACTTTTATTTTCTAAATATTTCTTCTTTCCCCATAACAAAATGTTTTTTTTTACATTTTTAAAGCCATTAAGGAAATAGATGAAAAGTATAGAGTGTTTGTGTTTTCGTTCATCACAAATCTATTTTTAAGCCATTAAAGAAATTAGAGCCATTAAATAAAATGAAATGCGGTTTAACGTCCTACTGTTCTGCCCCGGGAGCCACAGTGGCTTAGTGTGTAAGACACTGCCTCGATAGGCTAAAGATCGCGGGTTCGATCCAGGTGTTCGCCGAGAAAGTTCTTCTGGAATTTCCGGCGTGGTTTCCCATTGTCAGTGGTGCCTGAATTTTATTGAAATAAAATTGAACTATGTGTTAGTCCCGAATTGACCTAGTTTGTGTCGAGTGGGCGTTAACCCCCCCTCTCTCTCTCTCTCTCTCTCTCTCTCGCCCACCACTAAAGACCCTTACGCACAAGAGAATTATTGAAATAAGATTAAACAATAATTTAGTCCCGAAACGACCTAGTTTGTGTCGGGTTGATGTTAAACCCAATCTCTCCTTCTTTTAAAACTAAGGACATGCATTTCCTAAACTTCAAAGCCCCCGCCCCACCACCACTACCACCATCTTGAAAATCATAGCATGACAAGATCTTATTTCATAGTTTCAAGGATGTATTGTGTTTTATTATATCAAAATACTTACAGGTTTCAGGTAAAGGTGTCCATTTTTAATATATAGATTTCTCTGATCGTTTGTATACACCTGGAATTCGTTGCGCTAAAAGGGGATCAATTTTAAAGGTCACCGGAAAAGCTTCATAAATTTTCTAAATAATGCAAGGAATTATGTCACCATATCCTTTTCATAAGTATAAGACGATCCCAAATGCCACAGGTAAATTTCAACCGGTAGATTTTCGCCGTTCTCCGTGAGTAGTCGTAACTTTCCACCAATAAACAATCCGTGACGTCATTTTAGTCGTTCTGCTCTTATTCTAGTCTAAAATGATGTCAGGGATTGTGTATTGGCGGAAAGTTACGACTACTCACGGAGAATGGCGGAAATCGCTAACGTTGAAATTTACCCGTAGCTGGTAACATTGACATTAGGGTTGGTGTTATACCTATGGAAAGGATATGTGGCCCTATGCCTTTGATCAGAATAAATCGAGTAAGCAAACGCTACACCTACAATCAATCTGATTAAAACACAGATCCTATTTCGTTTCGCTTGTTATAGTTCAAAATTTCGTTTTACTTGTCTGTACTCCCATAGGATCTGGAAGAGTCATTATATAAACCCGCGTTCTAGTTGATGTGGGGGATTAGCCAATTAAACGGTCTGTTACGTCACATTTTTGGCGTGAGGTGCACGGAACTGTGGGTAACCCACTAGAAACATCAACGCTGATTGGTTCATCATATGCCTGACGTCATAGGGTCAAAAGCCACTCGTATGACCTCTGACGCGACCTCCCATTACAACTGGTCGGATTTTCATGTCATAGAGGCCATCAAAAGTAAAAAAAAAAACGAAAAGAAATATAGATCTATGATATTGCTTTCTGGCGATCGAAAGGGAAACGTTATTATTGTAATCAGAGTTTCTGTAGAACGAACATAGAATTTTTACCCAACCATTACCACTGGTTATTTGTGTCATCCAATGATTATGATTGAAATAGAATTTTTACCCAACCATTACCACCGGTTATTTGTGTCATCCAATGATTATGATTGAAATAGAATTTTTACCCAACCATTACCACTGGTTATTTGTGTCATCCAATGATTATGATTGAAATAGAATTTTTACCCAACCAGTACCACTGGTTATTTGTGTCATCCAATGATTATGATTGAAATAGAATTTTTACCCAACCATTACCACTGGTTATTTGTGTCATCCAATGATTATGATTGAAATAGAATTTTTACCCAACCATTACCACTGGTTATTTGTGTTATCCAATGATTATGATTTAAATATACTATTCAAAAAAAGTAGGGGATATTTGATTTTTAAGTGTTATTAAAGTCACCTAATGAAACTGACGAAGAAACAAATGACAAAATGAAATGAAGTTCACATTCATCGATTTATTCCAAATGATCGTTAGACTAAGAAAGGCACAGACTGACCATTATAACGGTAAAATGATACCCGGGGTCAAACAGCAAAGTTACCACAGCATCACAACCAAGTCAGTAAAGGGTAAATCCTCCTCTGTTTGCCAAACAAGCATTGATCCGACGTGGCATACTCCTAATGAGACGTCTAAGGTCATTTTGCTCCAGATTGTCCCATTCCTGTTGCAACGCAGCAGCAAGTTCTTGGACATTGGCAGGATGTTGTTGACGTTGACGTAACCTCTGTCCAAGCATGTCCCAGACATGCTCGATGGGGGAGAGGTCGGGAATTAGTGCTGGCCAAGGTAATGTGGTGATGTTCTGTTGTTGGAGGTAACCTGTAACGATCCTGGCCCTGTGACATCTTGCGTTGTCATCCTGGAAGATGAAACGGCGGCCATGACGTCGTGCGAACGGCACAACATGGACTGCCAAGATGTTGTCCTGGTAGTACTGGCCTGTAACACGCCCTGCAACAACATGTAAAGCCGTTCTTCCAGCAACAGTGATGCCTCCCCACACCATAACAGAACCACCCCCAAATCGATCATGTCTGATGACGTTAACGTCTGTCCAAAAAATCAAAAGTGAACCTTGACTCATCTGAAAACATCACATTGCTCCAGCGTCGATTATCCCAGTGTTGACGATCCCTACACCAACGACGTCTTGCCTGAATGTGATGATATCTCAAACAAGGGATCACGCGAGGACGTCGGGCGCGAAGGTGACTCCTATGCAGTCGATTCCGAATCGTCTGGCCACTCACTCTTACACCAGTGTCTGTTTGAAGACGAGCGCTGATCTGATTTGCTGTGATGACACGATTTCTCAAGGCCAAGGTACGGATAAATCGATCCTGGGCTTGAGTTGTCGCCCTTGGTCGATCTGAGCGTGGTCTATCCTGTACAGATTGTGTATCACGGTATCTGGACCATAGCCTGCTTATGACAGACTGAGAAACATTCATCGTCCGCGCCACAACCGCCTGTGTTGTGCCGATCTGTAGCATGCCAAGGGCACGTAACCTTTCATTTTGGGTAAGACGACGCATATCAAAATTTGTTTTCTGGTCACTAAAACAATTAAACTGATGTTTCCACCCTGGAATTCAATGCCACAATGACTGTAACATTCAAAGTCAGAGTCGTGCAAATCTTGGGTTGGACCCCCATGATGATCCCAAGCATCACCTGCATTCCATGCGGTAGCTATTGGTGCGTTTGGGCGTCACATGTAACTGGAAATGTTTCTTCTGTTAGGTTCTATAGTGACTTTTTTCGTAGTCATTTGCATATTTTAGTATTATGCCCCCAAAATCAAATATCCCCTACTTTTTTTGAATAGTATAATATATTTACCCAACCAGTGCCACTGGTAACTTGAGTTATCCAATGATTGGGATTTAAATGAGCATTCGTAAAATCATCACGAAAAGCAACAGCACCTCGCATTCGTCTTGGTGGAAGAGTAGCCAATGGAGCTGAAATTAATTGAAATTCGATAAGCTTTCTTAAAACAGAATACATCAAATTTTGAAAATCGTACTTGTGTTCCAAATGAGTGGAGGGGATACTTACTCGACAATCGGTTAACATTACAGACTTATGTCCACTCGACACAAACTAGGTCATTTCGGGACTAACACATGGTTCGGTCTTATTTCAATAATTCGCTTGCGGGTATTTAGCAGTGGAAGGAAACCGGAGGACCCGGAGAAAACTCACGAGGTTGGACAGGCGTCCCTACACCTTGTCACGTATTATCAAAATAATTTCACCGTCGATATGGCTTTTTGGGTTTAAGCACATAGTTAGGCAAACCCAGCATATCGACAATATGAGGATAACTTCGTGATTTAAAATGTGAAGACATTGAGAAGTTTGTTAGGATACCGGTCGGAGGGGTGTGTGTGCGGGGGCGGGGAGGGGGGGTATTGGACTTCTGATCAAAGCATTTTCACACGGGTCTTCATTGTGAGGCAATCTATCAAAAACTTGAGTATTTTTAGGTGGATCGACGGAATAAGGTGTGGGCACTGTAATGTTCAATTATAATATTAGTAACACAATTATGTAGTCTGATCCCTAATATACATGGTTACTAGAGTTGTTCCCCTTGTATGAATCTCAGGCAGTATGTACACATGTAAAATGTCAGACCAGCTGAAATAAAATGCTACAGTATTAAAAATCCAGTGTGATCCTGATTAGTAATAATCCATCAGGGAAAGCACAAACATAACAGGCACATATAACATGCAAATGTATAAATAAACCGGAACATACCATATTTCCATTCTTGAATCAGACTTTCCACATTATCGCCATTCTCCAATTGTGTAAAAGTATAAAAGCTGACTTTCTTTGTTGCTACTAGATTTGTATCAATAAATCGCCATAAACCATCAACTGTAAGTTTAAATATGGCAGACATCGTAAAACTATATCGTCGGTGAAGTGTCAAAAGGGTGTATCTAAGAATTTCTAAAGATTAAGAAATAGAACATTTTGCATTTCAAAATTTCCACAAATCAAGATACAACATTTAGACACATGATACCCAGAACAGTTCTAATTGGCGTAGAGATACACAGCTTAGATAGAAATGTGTGTGCATATTAATTGGGTGAGTTTAAAAATGCAAAAAAAGTGTATTTGACTAATTTCCCCGAAATACAATAGTTCAAAATTTCGTTTATCTTGTCGTTACTACATTAGGATCTGGAAGAGTTGTTATATGACCCGCGTTTTGGATGATGTGAGGGGATTAGCCAATGAAACAGTCTGTTACGGCGAGTTTTTGGCGTGATGTGCACGGAACTGCGGGTATCCCACCAGAAACATCAACGCCGTTTGGTTAATCAAATGTCTGACGTCATAGGGTTAAAAGCCGCTCGTATGACCTCTGACGCGACTTTCACTACAACCAATCAGATCTTCATGTAGTGTAGGCCACCGAAAGTATTAAAAAGCGAAACGAAATATAGATCTGTATTTTAATCAGATTGGTTGAGAGATAACCGAGACCGAGTGGTCATATGAATCAGGTGTCGTCGTTTTGATACTAAAGAGTTTGGGCGGGCGTCTGCACTCGTGCACAGGAGATTTTTTAAAAATGCGTTAGTCCCGATATGACATAATTTGTGGAGTTTAAAAGCTCGTGCCTTGCCCTTCGCTGTTTTCAATTAAGCCCACTTTTAAACAATAATAGTGGAACGATCCAAATATGAACCATTATATGACGTTTGAAAGACAAAGTGTTCACGACGACAAAGAGCTGTGTTATTGAAAAACAAATTGACTCATTGGGGTCGGATGTTAATTAACATAGGTTGCCAGGCAACGAAACATATAATCCGATGTTTCTGAAATGTTGCCATATAATAATGTAATTACTTGTCGCCGTGCAACATTTTAATAGAAATATGGTCATAAATCTAAAGGACCCTTACATACCTTTAGACTTTTACATAAAATGTTACATTTAGTATTTCTTTTCGAAACTACTCAGAAGTAAATTTTCTTAATGTTAAAGTAAACCGCTGGTTGAAAGACATATAGGCGTATGAGCCGGAAGAGGAGGGGGGGGGGCAACCTAACTTTCGGAAAGCCTGACTTTTCGAGCAGACGGGTGAAATGAAAACAATAATTATTGATTATCTAGGTGGCAAAATAAAGTGCCGAAATCTAATACTAAACACTAATTTTACTTTTCGTTTAACTGAATATCACGAATTTGTACTGAATTGTCATTTTGTCTGGAGCCACTTTACCTTGTGCGACATTTTTCGGGTATCGATTATCGTTTATGAATTCAGCTGCAACAGTCCGAGTGAATTGCTTAATTCGTGGGCTAGAATAGCAGAAAAATGCATTTGCGGTGGTTAAATTTTCTAAATTTTCTCGGGGGGGGGGGGGCATTTCTGGTTCTCCACCCCTAACATTCATCGAGGCCGCACGCCTATGTTGAAAGAGCCACAGTATAATAATTTCTAGCATGAAATAAAAATACCCTTCCCCCTTTCCTTTAATCAAGTATGTAATAATAAATGTTTACATGTTATTCTTACCATATTTAATCAAGTATATAATAATAAATTCTTACCAGATTTAATAGCAACACCAATATGTTCATCTTTATCGTCATTTATTTTATAAATAAAACCGAGTTGTTGAATACCAGGGGAATCTAAAAAGATAATAAAATATATCAATGTACAGATGGACAAAATGATTTTGATTTAGAAATGGATCACTATCAATCCACGGGAACAAAAAGGTGGGGGTATAAAACGAATATGTAAGATGAAATACCGAAAACGGAGACCCTTTTTACTATCTATTTATTATGTGTGCCTAAATATTTATTTTAAAAAAGATGAGATCGTAAGTAAACACATGCTATAATTAAGATAAAATAAATATTTTACCATCGGTACACGAATCCATTTGTAACAAGGGACTCGAAGAACGAGGCTAGACATATTCCACAAATCATGTCAAACGGTGACGACATATTCTTATCTGGACAGCATGGGCAATATATACTATGAGTGTAAACTGGAATATCCAGACCGTGGGGAAGACAAGGTAAAAATATTGGGGTATAAATGAAGTGAAATGGGGTTTAACGTCCTACTGTTCTGCTCCTAACCGGGTCTAATGAAGACGGGCATACGCCATAGAGTGTGCTATGAGGGAAATTTTGCCCGAGCAGCGGCGCTACGACCTACTCTTATATCGAATTCCAACAGCCAAGGGATCTTTTACGTGCACGCCAATGTGTTCACGGGACCTCGGTTTTTCGTCACAGCCGAACGACTAGACAGCTGTCCTTGCCAGGCCCTCCGTCCTGCACCACTGGAAAATCTGAATGAACTTTCTCGGCCAATGCAGGGATCGAAGACCCGACCTCCAGGCTAGCGAGCCAGCGTCTTACCCACTTAGCCACGTGATCCCCACGTGATCCCCCGGGATATAAACATGGACAGGAACAAATTGGAAAACAGTTTTTCAAATCGAAATATATCCATGGTCTTATTTTATAACTCTTGCCAATCTGATTAAAACACAGATCCTAATTCGTTTCGTTTTTTATAGTTTAAAATTTCGTTTTACTTGTCTTTACTACACTAGGACCTGTAAGAGTTGTTATATAACACGCGTTCTGGATGATGTGAAGGATTAGCCAATGAAACGGTCTGTTATGGTGAGTTTTTGACGTGAGGTGCAGGGTACTGTAGGTAATCCATTAGAAACATCAACGCTGATTAGTTAATCAAATGTCTGACGTCATAGGGCCAAAAGCCGTTTCTATGACCTGACACGACCTTCCACTACAACAGGTCAGATCTTCATGTAGTAGAGAACATCGAAATATAAAAAAAAACGAAACGAAATATAAATCTGTTTTTTAATCAAATTGCTTTCTGGCGATCGAAAGGGAAACCTTATTATTCCCAGAGTATAAGCCTAAATGATTGGGAGTTGGAGGAAATCGGAGAACCCGAAGAAAACCCACGAGGTTGGACAGGCGACCCAACTCCTTGTCACGTACAACCGGGAAATCGAAACCACGACAGTTGACTCAATGACAGACCTTATGATACAACGCACAAGCGCTAACCTCGAGAAAGTTCATCAGGATTTTTCCGGCGTCGTTCGGATGGGACCAGAAAAATGCTTTCATTTTCATATCTGCAAGTTTAATACAAATTGAGTGTTTAAACTATATTCATACGTTTGCAGATCCTTATATATTAATAATAATTTATTGTTTGCTAACAAAACGCCGCAATTCTTAGCAACTCAGAGCTCCGAGATGCTTGTTTTCGTTATCTGCAAGTTTAGTTAACGAAAACAAGCATGAATATAGATTTTAAACACTCAATCTGTATAGAAATTGACACAAATAGGACACAACGCATATAATAATGTAATGTGAATGTAAATTCAATCGTTTCCGTTTTTACTCTAACTTCAAATCAGTTATGTTCGGCAGAAGTCTCACTAGAATCGCAATCTCTCGCGTCTGGTTATCCCAGTCTACATGGATAGTATTTTTTGCGCATTTTCTCCAGATAAGAATATAGGGCCACCGTTTGACATGACTTGTGGAATATGTCTAGCCTAGTTCTTCGAGTACCTTGTTACAAATGGCGCTGAAACGCATTATGGTATACGATTCGTGTACCAATGGTAAAATATATATTTTGTCTTAAATATTGGATATCAGAAGTCCATTTTTTTCCGGTAAGATCACAACATCAATGTTGATTTAAATTGACAAATAATTCGTGTTTTCAATGTCGAAGACTTTGGATAATATTAATTTAGAGACTTGCTACTTTACCATACTCTGTATAGCAACCTGTAAAGAGAGAGGGGGGGGGGGGGTAACGTCCACTCGACACAAACTAGGTCATTTCGGAACTAACATATGGTTCAATTTTATTTCAATAATTCGCATTGGGATCTTTAGCAGTGGGAGGAAACCGGAGGACCCAGAGAAAACCCACGAGGTTGAACAGGCGTCCCTACTCCTTATCACGTACAACCGGGGAATCGAAACCAAGCCAGTTGACTCAATGACAGAGCTTATGATACAGCGCGCACGCGCTAACTATTCGGCCTTCCAACTCCACTGTAAAGCAATCTGTAAACTTCAATAAATGAAATGAAAATAGCTAATCATCCAACCACCATAAACAACTTAAATAAACACCACTATCAATTTATAAAGTGAATGCACCAATTATACTCCTGTTAACGTCGTGAATTTCAAGATCATATTTGAAATGTTATCAATACGATAACACTGACAGGCGGGAATGATTATATTTTGTGACTATTTTAATTTTTAATACTTGGTACATTTCTTTGTGCACAACTACAACAAATGCTGTACAAATGCAACAAATGTTAATATCTTTAAAACGTGTCTTTATGAACAACTTAAACATAACTACTTAGACACTCAGAATATTAAAAATAATTTTCACGTTTCCAGTTAAAAAATTTTAATTTAAATTAAAGGGGCTTTAACGTCGTCCTATACTGTTCTGCGCCGACTGGGATAATAAAGACGGCCATACTCCATACAGTGTGCTATGAGAGAAAATTTGCCTGGGCAGCGGTGCTAAGACCTTTTCTTATATCGAATTCCAACTACCAATGGGAATTTTACGACACGTGCACGCAAATGTGAACACGAGACGCCTAGAGAGCTGTCCTTGTCAGGCCCTCCTTCCCGCACAACTAACAAGACAACGAACTTTTTCGGCCAACACCGGAGGCGAACCTGCTATCTCCAGGCTAGCGCTGCAGCGTCTAAAGCCTGTTTTCCACTAGGCGATTTTTTTCGCGCGAAGCAAATTTTTTCGAGTACAGGCATGCGCAGTATAATTTCAGGCGGCGCCACACTTTTCGCTGGCTCTTTTCTACTTTCCAGCCGCGAAAAAAGGAGCAAGTCAATCAGAATTCCGTAAACTCTCACGTGGTAATACAACTCACGAGGCCAAGGCACGTCCATTGTACGCCTTCCGAATCCAAAACCTTTTTCTGTACTTCTGCAGTCGAATTTGACGTCTGCGTAGCAGTAAAATGTTAATCAATCTTACCTTTAACAAGAGTAAATATCTCAGATTAAAAGCAGCAGCCATTGTGGAAGTTCAGGAAGGAAATCTTTCGCGCCAACTCTGCTATGAAACAAAGAATGATCGAAACAATCGCTTGTGTAGTGGAAAATACAAGCACGATTGCTCGAAAACAGGCTTAAGGCACTTAGTCACCGTGAATCCGCCAAGAAATGAACGATTGTACCTAATTATACCTAATATAATCACCATTTGGGAATACGACACTAGCACAGAGGTAAGGTGTTCTTCCAGCATATGGATAGTAATTAATAATTCACACAAAAATCACATTGCTTATTATTGTGCACAAAATACAGTTTAACATAAAGAAAGCGTGAGTCATTCACATAAAGACAATTTTGGTTTTTGGATCGAAAAAAAAAATAATAATTTTAAATCTGATATCCTATATCTGGTTAAATTAAAAATCAATACATATTATATCTCCAAGTCGCTGTCAATTCTTTTTCTTAATTCGAATAAATTAGACCAAGCCATTACGATTGCCCACCTTAAAGCTAAACTCCGATTACAAAACTACAGAAATGATTAAATAAAAAAAAAGTTAACCCTCTAAACAGTCGCCATACTTGTTTTCAATTTGTAGAACAAACATGGCGATTGCTTACGTCGTATAAGATTAGATGTAGGCAACGCCCACATCGGGGTCGTTGGGGTGGCCTAGTGGTCTAGAGTGTCGCGCTTCGACCTCTAGCTGGCCGGTTACCCCTCAACCTCGTGGGTTTACTCTGAGTACTCCTGTTTCCTCCCACAGGAAAGACCCCTACGCGTACGCTAATATAATGAAAATAAGACAACTTAACTTGTCTGCGATATCACCTTCGGTGGAAGCGGACGTTAAACATTAAGAAGAACAACAACAACGCCCACATCCTGTATATGCAAAATATCCACATCCAGCTAGCTATATTTCAACTACAAGTGTAATGTAAGTGACAGTTTTAAATTGTCACGACAACCGTGTAAATTACCTTTACGACCTGATGTCTCTCTATAAGCTGCGGTCACGCACGTGGTTGACCGTAGTGGGGGATGATCGTAGAAGACCGTAGTTCAACGTAGTTATAAACATGATTTGACCGTGTTTAGCCCAACAATGTTCAAGAGAGAGAGAGAGAGAGAGAGAGGGAGGGGATTTAATGTGCACTCGACACAAACTTGGTCATTTCGGTAGGAACACATGGTACAATTTTATATCAATAATTCCCTTGTTCGTAGGGGTCTGTAGTAGTGAGAGGAAACCGGGGGATTTGGAGAAAACCCACGAGGTTGGTCAGGCGACCCTACTGCTTGTCACGTACAACCGGGGAATCGAAAACACCCCAGTTGACTCAATGACAGACCTTATGTTACAGCGCACACGTGCTAACCATTCGGCCATCCACCCCCGCCCCCTCCTCCCCCGTAGTTTGAATATACTTGACCGTATTGTTTACCGTAGTGGATTGTGGTCGACCGTAGTAGCATGGCACTACGCTTAACACTACGGCCAAGTAGGGTCAACTACAGACAACTGACAACTGGGTTGGACTACGTTTGAAGGATGTACGTTTGAAGTAGGGTAAACTAAGGTCAACTAGGGTCAACTACGGTCAACTAGAGTAAAGTAGTAACCCACTTCGCACTACTTCAACCAATCTGGACGACGGCACAACGGTGAACTACGTTCAAAGGAACTATGACCAAGTGAATGTGACCGCGGCTTTAAGATGTTGATTTAGTGGCAATGTACTGGGTCCATGTAAACACGTAACACAAAACGGCCGTTTTTTGTCGTACAATGATTAATGTGTTGCTATTGGATTTATAGACAGTGGTCGATATTGTCAATATATTATTGAATTTCAAACCTGAGAGCATTTGGTGTACCAAATGAAAGTCAGTAGCGAGGTAGATATTTTAACCAGCTGGAACGAAGTGTAATATGATATTGGTGATAATGTACTTAAAGATATTGACGGCGACGTGTCAACGTAATGTTGGACTAGCGAGAGAGAGAGAGAGAGAGAGAGAGAGAGAGAGGGTTGGGTTTAACGTCCACTCAACATAAACTAGGTCATTCCGGGACTAACACATGGTTCAATGATTCGCTTGTGCGTAGGGGGTCTTCAGCAGTTGGAGGAAATCGGAGGACCCAGGGAAAGCCCACGAGGTTGGATAGGCTTTCCTCCCACTCTCTCTCTCTATCCCTCTCTCTCTCTATCCCTCTCTCTTCTCCCTCTCTTTCTCTCTCTCTCTCTCTATCCCTCTCTCTTCTCCCTCCCTCTCTCTCTCCCTCTCTCTTCTCCCTCTCTTTCTCTCTCTCTCTCTCTATCCCTCTCTCTTCTCACTCTCTCTCTCTATCCCTCTCTCTTCTCACTCTCTCTCTCTATCCCCTCTCTCTCTATCCCTCTCTCTTCTCCCTCCCTCTCTCTCTCCCTCTCTCTTCTCCCTCTCTTTCTCTCTCTCTCTCTCTATCCCTCTCTCTTCTCACTCTCTCTCTCTATCCCTCTCTCTTCTCACTCTCTCTCTCTATCCCCTCTCTCTCTATCACTCTCTCTCTTCTCCCTCTCTCTCTCTCTCTCTCTCTCTATCCTCTCTCTCTCTCTATCCCTCTCTCTCTTCTCCCTCTCTCTCTCTCTCTCTCTCTCTATCCCTCTCTCTCTCTCTCTATCCCTCTCTCTTCTCACTCTCTCTCTCTCTCTCTCTCCCTCCCCCTCTCTCTCTCTCTCTATCCCCTCTCTCTCTCTATCCCTCTCTCTTCTCTCTCTCTATCCCTCTCTCTCCTCACTCTCTCTCTCTTCCCCCTCTCTCCCTCTCTCTCTCTCTATCCCTCTCTCTCTCTATCACTCTCTCTCCTCACTCTCTCTCTCTTCTCCCTCTCTCTCTCTATCCCTCTCTATCCCTCTCTCTCTCTCTTCTCTCTCTCTATCCCTCTCTCTCCTCACTCTCTCTCTCTTCTCCCTCTTTCCCTCTCTCTCTCTCTATCCCTCTCTCTCTATCCCTCTCTCTCCTCACTCTCTCTCTCTATCTCTCTCTCTCTTCCCCCTCTCTCTCTATCTCTCTCTCTCTCCCTCTATCCCTCTCTCTTCTCCCTCCCTCTCTCTCTCTATCCCTCTCTCTTCTCCCTCTCTCTCTCTCTATCACTCTCTCTCTATCCCTCTCTCTTCTCCCTCTCTCTCTCTATCCCTCTCTCTTCTCCCTCTCTCTCTCTCTATCACTCTCTCTCTATCCCTCTCTCTTCTCCCTCTCTCTCTCTATCCCTCTCTCTTCTCCCTCTCTCTCTCTCTATCACTCTCTCTCTATCCCTCTCTCTTCTCCCTCCCTCTCTCTCTCCCTCTCTCTTCTCCCTCTCTCTCTCTCTCTCTCTATCCCTCTCTCTTCTCCCTCCCTCTCTCTCTCCCTCTCTCTTCTCCCTCTCTCTCTCTCTATCACTCTCTCTCTATCCCTCTCTCTCTCTATCCCTCTCTCTTCTCCCTCTCTCTCTCTCTATCACTCTCTCTCTATCCCTCTCTCTCTCTCTTCTCCCTCTCTCTCTCTCTATCACTCTCTCTCTATCCCTCTCTCTCTCTATCACTCTCTCTTCTCACTCTCTCTCTCTATCCCCCTCTCTCTCTCTCTCTCTCTCTTCTCCCTCTATCTTCTCCCTCCCTCTCTCTCTCTCTATCCCTCTCTCTTCTCCCTCTCTCTCTCTCTATCACTCTCTCTCTATCCCTCCCTCTCTCTCTATCACTCTCTCTCTATCCCTCTCTCTTCTCACTCTCTCTCTCTCTTCCCCCTCTCTCCCTCTCTCTTCTCCCTCCCTCTCTCCCTCCCTCTCTCTTCTCCCTCCCTCTCTCTCTCCCTCTCTCTTCTCCCTCTCTCTCTCTCTATCACTCTCTCTCTATCCCTCTCTCTTCTCCCTCCCTCTCTCTCTCTATCCCTCTCTCTCTCTCTATCACTCTCTCCCTCTATCCCTCTCTCTTCTCCCTCCCTCTCTCTCTCCCTCTCTCTTGTCCCTCTCTCTCCCTCTCTCTCTCTCTATCCCTCTCTCTCTATCCCTCTTTCTTCTCACTCTCTCTATCCCTCTCTCTCTCTCTTCTCTCTCTCTCTATCCCTCTCTCTCTATCTCTCTCTTCTCTATCTCTCTCTCTTCCCCCTCTCTATCCCTCTCTCTCTCTATCCCTCCCTCTCTCTCTCTCTCCCTCTCTCTCTCTCTATCCCTCTCTCTTCTCCCTCTCTCCCTCTCTCTCTCTATCACTCTCTCTTCTCCCTCTCTCTCTCTCTCTCTCTCTATCCCTCTCTCTCTCCAGAATGTTTTCGGTAAAGGGAGATAACTCCCAAACGGATTGCCACGAACCGAAACACAATGCTTCACACCAAATCTATAAAAGACTGGCTAAAAACTGTGACCACTACTGCATTCACAGAGTTTTTGGCCAAGGGGAATTCAAATCTGTTAAACATAATAGCCTTTGTCGCGTGCAGAAATCTTTCCGAAATGGGGCCATAACTCCGGATCGGAAGGTCCGATGCACACTGAAATCAAACTCAGCCGAGATCTTGTGATCTTTAACATATAATTTAAGTTTCATCTACGATCTTTTGATTTTTAAAACATATTGCAAGTTTCTACGGAATAGGACACAAATTGTGGCCTCTGTGAGCAGGTCCCCAAACATTGTACATATATATATTTCACATTTTGTGTAAAAGGCAAGGAGCATACCGCCAAAACACGGGGTATGATGCACACCAAATCGTGATTATAGTATAACGGTGATATGTTTGAACGGTTTTTATAATTAAAAATAATATGCGCCCTTTTGTGTGGCCCCATGCTAAAACGCGACTTATCGTACAATCAGGGGCAATAATCCGTGAAGTTACGGTCCGATGCGTGCCAATATCGCTATAAAGTTTTGTCAAAATCGGATAGAATGTACACAAACAAATATGAACGGATGTCTGGGTGGACGAACAGGTGTGACGACATGGAAATGTGGGCGTATAAAAGATAAAGCACTAAGTTCCATACATGTCACATGCTACCATCGACCTCGAAATTAGGCCAAATTGATCGTAAGTTATGAAAGCAACGATGTTACAATCGGTCCATCTTTAACCTCCAGAGTCGGGATCACCGGAGTAGTCGTAACTTACCGCCAATACACAAGTCGTGACGCCATTTTAGTCCTGCTCATAGAAATATAGACTAGAATATGAGCAGAAGGGCTACAATGGCGTCACGGATTGTTTATTGCCGGAACGTTACGACTACTCACGGAGAACGGCGGAAATTACTAACATTGAAATTTACCTGTTGCAGGTAATATTGACATTAGGGTTGGTGTTATACTTATGGAAAGGATATGTTGACATAATTACTTGCGTTATTCAAAAAGAAATGAAGATTTTTCGGTGACCTTTAATAATATTTAGGATGTGAGTAGGCAAATCCTATTGAATTATAAAATTCCGACGACCAAACATACCTGAAGAAGTAAATACCCCACCATTGGACTGGAGTGAAAACTTTGGTACCGACACGGCACCAGCTAGATAAGCCAACAGTAATAACGCAACTGACGGATACATGATATCTACTGGGACTGGAAGGTAAAAGGTGTTTCATTGCTGTTTTAATCTAGGCGAACAGATAAAAACATGAAGGTCGCTTTGACATGTAGATTGTTTTTTGTTTTGAGTTTCGACATATTGCAACGTTCTGCTAATGTCATGATAACCGAAGACTGATTAAAGTCAGACGTTAATGTCTTTTATTTTTATTTTTTGTTGTACGACATTAATAGTGTTTGTTTCTAGTCGGTGTTATAGATCACGTGAACTTTGTGACTAATCAAAATGTCAATCAAGCCAATAATATAAAATTGAACCATGTTATTCCTTCCCTCCGACTACCCCTGGGAGGGTTGGATGGCATTGGGTCAACTGGTGTTATATGTGATAAGGAGTATGGTCGTCTGTCCAACCTCGTGGGTTTTCCCATGGTACTCCGGTTTCCTCCCACTGCTAAAAACCCTACGCGCAAGCGAATTATTGCAATAACATTGAACCATATGTTAGTCCTGAAATGACCTAGTATGTATCAAGTGGACGTTACACCCCAATTCTCTCGCTCTCTCTCTACCCCTTCTCCCTCTACCCCCCCTCTCTTCCTCTCCCTCCTCACCCCTCTACCCCCTCTCCCTCCCACCCCTCTCTCTCTCCCACCCCCCTCGTGTCTTTTAACTTACGGCGCGTGGAAATTCTAAACAAAAGCAATATATTAAACATACATTATGCAAGCGGTAAATCTGCCTATTGCAGGTCTTTCTTTAGGCCTGAAATGTTTTCTAAATTATTAATTAGGCATTAATTAACTTATCCAGGCCATAATCTGTAACATTTTGGTTCTTGAGACAATTTTGGTTCTTTGCAAAATTGTTAATTTACTTAATGAACGTGAATATATCGTTATACATAACAAACAGTGATATTTTAGTTAAATCATAATTATTATCAAAATATCCATCAAATTCTGGCTGTTTATTGACCCATGGGTGGTAGACCAAAAATAGGTAATGTCTCCTATCGTACTTGTGGGAAATAAAGAAGTTTATTCCTTATATTGAATGGAAATTAACGTCAAGGTTATCTTAGACCTGCAGAAATTAGGGGGTATAAATTAGGGTGTAGAAGCAAGTTGGATCAGAACTCACCCAGAAATTCCTAGCAGCCATTATCACCAGATCACCAGAAAATAAACACAACAAGAAGAAGTCCTATAGAACTACAAATCAACTCTCGATGGCATAGGATTTCTCCGATATTAAATAGATTATAACAGTTCAGCCATATTTTGATTAAAGCTAAAAATGGAGGAGCGGGACTTAGCTTCGAACAACCAGTAGGGTGGTTGAAATTATTGCACATGTCTTGTCAAACCTTCAAAGGCTAATATCTTCGCTCGCAATAGAGTAATTTGAATGAAATTTTCAAATTATTCATTTTACATTATTTATGTTCGAACTATTATACCAAGAATGACTAGCTCTTTATCTAAATCTTACATAATGCATATTTAATGCATCTTATCAAATATATTCGTTGCCACTTCATTTTCGAAGTATTAATTTTATTTTTTGTGCTGCGTCATTTATCAATCTGATTAGAATACAGATCTATATTTCGTTTCGTTTTTTTATACTTTCGATGGCCTACACTACATGAAGATCTGACAAGTTATAGCGATAGGTCACGTCAGGGGTCAAAAGACCGACTTATGACCTATGACGTCAGACATTTGATTAACCAATCAGCATTGATGTTACTAGTGGATTACCCACAGTTCCGTGAAAAACACGCCTAAAGCTCGCCGTAACAGACCGTTTCATTGGCTTATCCCTGACACCATTCAGAACATGAGTTAAATAACAACTCTTCCAGATCCAAGTGTAGTAAAGACAAGTAAAACGAAATTTTGAACTATAAAAACGAAACGAAATAGGATCTGTGTTTTAACCAGATTACGTCATTTATCTAAACAAATAAATTCACGAGATTGCCGAATTAGATATCAAGATTGCAACACACTCCTGATATCTTGCGTCATTCAGTCTAAGTCGGTTGGTTAGCAACGCCCCCCCCCCGTCTCCCCCCCCCTCTCTCTCTCTCTCTCTCTGTAAGACGCAAATATATTAAAATATATATATTATACTCTGAAATTGTGTAAATACTAGAAGGGGCACATCTCGAAAACTTTCTCAGGATCATAAAAGATAGGGCAAAAGGCAAATCACTTAGGTCACTCGGAGGTAGTGTGTTCAGTAGGCAATGGGGTTTAATGTCTTACTGTTCTGCTCTTATCCTGGGCTAATGAAGACGGGTATACATCATACTGTGTGCTATGAGGGAAATTTTGCCCGGGCAGCGGCACTACTGCCAATGTGTACACGGGACCTCGGTTTTTCGTCCCATCCGAACGACTATCCTGGGCTAATGAAGACGGGTATACATCATACAGTGTGCTATGAGGGAAATTTTACCCGGGCAGCGGCACTATGGCCTACTGCCCATGTATACACGGGACCTTGGTTTTTCGTCCCATCCGAACTACTAGACAGCTGTCCTTGTCAGGCCATCCGTCCTGCACCACTGACAAGGGGGAAACCACGTCGGAAAATCCGATGAACTTTCTCGGTTCGGGGTCCGAACACGTGACCTCCGGGCTAGCGAGCACGCGTCTTACTCACTTATCCACCGTGGCTCCCGCAAAGATATTAGGGAGCTCGGAGAGATAAGCATTGCTCGCTGGCTGGTATATAATTACTAAAGCGGGACCTACTCAATAATGTAGGAATCAGGCGCTGCTTTACCAAGAAGCTGGCAATTTTGAAGGTCCCCGCGAGTTTATTGAGGCGGGGACCCCAGTGATATTTTACGTAAACATACAATTCTAGAAGACTGTCCGTGCTTTTCTTGAAATATGTTATCAGGGGCGGACCCCTTCCTGCTCAGCTACATAAAAATAAAAAGTAGGAAGTGTGCTTTCTCCGTTATGATCATACGATGGGATGGGGTGAGCATTCAACGCGCGAGATAATGATAGAGACATACGTGGTCTTAATGGAATTGAAATTAATTCATAATAAAAATTCGCGTCAAACGGGGTTCTGGATTTCTCTCTTTAAAGAGCTCAATATGTATTTATGCCTATGTAATTTGGAGACGATGTTGGCATCATACATTGTCAACACTAACATTGCCTTAACAGGAACCTGGCCAACCCCCTCCTGCAGAATTTCCAGGACCCGACCCTGGTTATACTCATGCTTATATGTTACTATGTTAAACATACATTATACAAGAGGTAAATCTGCCTATTGCGGGTCTTTCTTTAGGCCTGAAATGTTATCTAAATCAATAATTAGACATTTATTAACAAAACAATACCATAATCAACTCTCGATGGCATGGGATACTCGAGATTTTAACTAGATTAGAACGCTTCGCCATTCAAAAATTTAATTCAATAATGGGAAAGCGAGACTGGGTCTCGAATATACCAGTGCCCTACAGAAAGTTGAACTCGGCACGGCGAATGTGCATGCTTCAGTGGCTTGTCTCGGAGTGATTTCTGGCTAGTCAAGCAGTGAAAACAATACTCAACACTAGAATCTGAGTCTACAAATAGCCATCGCACGGGCAATTCTCTACACATCTATCAACTATTACAGTCGTAAAAAATCTATTGTTGACGATTCAGAATAGCAGTAATATTTAGCTTTTTGGTTATTACAGCAGTGTTATTTTTTAAATTGCTTTAGCATTAACTATACCGTTAGGAGCGGCATCATTTGGTTTAGTACAAATAATATCTCTGAAACACTCGGGTTAGGCAAGAACATGATACTAGCAGTAGTTTCATTTTACTTTTACAAGGTTCTTTAAACAATTCTTGAGTTGCTTAACGTGTGTGTTTCTAAATTTAATTTATTGTTCCAGCTTTCGGTTATGTTTCGTAAAAAGTAGTCTTGATTATCCCGGCCTGTCAATAAGATGTAGAATGGTCGGTAGACCGGTTAAGGGAGACTTATTTCAAAACAAGGGCACGTAACCTATTTTTTACTCACAAGCACCCGGATGTTATGGCCGACACTCGTAACCATTTACGTAATAATAAAACATTGATTTTACTCTTTTTTTTTAAATTGAAATACGGCGAATTTGTACTGTGTTTACTGTGGATGTAAACATTTTTTTATAAAAAAAAAGACGCTGATTGGCAACATTTTTGGGGGATCGATGATTATTTGTTTCATCATCATAATTTGTTTCTGCTGTTTCCCATCCGCACCGCTGATAAGGAGGAGCCAAGCCGGAAAATCCAGATGAACTTTCTCTGCCAACACGGCGATCGAACATGGGACAGCTTCAGGTTAGCGAGTCACCATTGCTGCTCCCATCTTAGGTATACGCTATATTGCATTTTCAACCGCATGTTTTATTCCCCGTCCGTATATTTAATTTACTAAATATCCCCCCCCCACCCAGCCCCATGTTTTATTGGTCATCCATATATTTGATTTTACATCGGTATATAATTATATCGATCAACTGATTCCTTTATTTTTGTCTTATTTCACACATTTAAAAGGACAATAACACTCTGGCTGGCTTGACAGCTCCAGAAAATAAAAAAAATAGCCTTATCTAAGTACTAGATGTGTTAGTGTCTTACCTGTTGTGTAAATTATCCATTAAATCCTATTTTACTTTTCCAGAGGGTTCAAAAATATTTTTAAATCCAAGTCACATTTGAAAGCTTTACGTCAGGCTTTTCAAATCATTTAGATGAATTTTTCCAATTTTTTTAAATTAGGTGTGTTAAGATGAAATTTGTATCAACAATTAATTGGAATATTGTAAAATAGTACAATTTGTTGACCAGAATAAAGATTGTGACATATTATTCAGTTACAATAAGAGTGGTATTGAGCCTTTAAACGTATTTTTATTTATCGAATTTGAATTTTATAGACAGTCCTTAAAAGTATGGTACTTTCGTATTTGTACTGCAAATAAAATGATGC